TCCTGGACTAGGCAAGCTCGTGGACCAGGCAAGCTCCTGGACCAGGCAAGCTACTGGACCAGGCAAGCTCGTGGACCACACAAGCTCTTGGACCAGGCACGCTCTTGGACAAGGAAAGCTCTTGGACCAAGCGCGCTTCTGGACCAAGCAAGCTCCTGGACCAAGCAAGCTCCTGGACCACGCAAGCTCTTGGACCAGGCACGCTCCTCGACCAGGCAAGCTCTTGGACCAGGCAGGCTTCAGGACCAAGCAAGCTCCTGGACCAGGCAAGCTCCTGGACCAGGCACACACCTAGACCAGGCAAGCTCCTGGACCAGGCAGGCTCCTCGACCAGGCAAGCTCCTGGACCAGGCAAGCTCCTGGACCAGGCAAGCTCTTGGACCAGACAAGCTCCTGGACCACGCAAGCTCCTGGACCAGACAAGCTCCTGGACCAAGCAAGCTCCTGGACCAGGCACGCTCATGGACCAGGCACGCTCTTGGACCAGGCAAGCTCTTGGACTAGGCAGGCTCGTGGACCAGGCATGCTCCTGGACCAGGCAAGCTCCTGGACCAGGCAAGCTCCTAGACCAGGCAAGCTCTTGGACCAGGCACGCTCGTGGACCAGGCAAGCTCCTCGACCAGGCAATCTCCTAGACCAGGCAAGCTCCTGGACCAGGCAAACTCGTTGACCAGGCACGCTTTTGGACCAGGCAAGATCCTGGACCAGGCAAGCTCCTGGACCAGGCAAGCTCCTGGATCAAGCAAGCTCGTGGACCAGGCAAGCTCCTGGACCACGCAAGCTCTTGGACCAGGCAAGCTCCTGGACTACGCAAGCTCGTGGACCAGGCAAGCTCGTGGACCAGGCAAGCTCCTGGATAAGGCAAGCTCCTAGACCAGGCAAGCTCCTGGACCAGGCAAGCTCCTGGACTAGGCAAGCTCCTGGACCAGGCAAGCTCCCGGACTAGGCAAGCTCCTGGACCAGGCAAGCTCCTGGACCAGGCAAGCTCCTGGACCAAGCAGACTCGTGGACCAGGCACGCTCCTGGACCGGGCAAGCTCCTGGACCTGGCAAGCTCCTGGACCACGCAAGCTCTTCGACCAGGCACTCTCGTGGACCAGGCAAGCTCTTGGACCAGGCAAGCTCGTGGACCAGGCAAGCTCTTGGACCAGGCAAGCTCCAGGATCAAACAAGCTCCTGGACCACGCAAGCTCCTGGACCAGGCACGCTCGTGGACCAGGCACGCTACTGGACCAGGCACGCTCCTAGAGCAGGCAAGCTTGTGGACCAGGCACGCTCCTGGACCAGGCAAGCTCCTGGACCAGGCAAGCTCCTAGACCACGCAAGCTCTTGGACCAGGCACGCTTCTCGACCTAGCAAGCTCCTGGACCAAGCAAGCTCCTGGACCACGCAAGCTCTTCGACCAGGCACGCTCCTCGACCAGGCAAGCTCTTGGACCAGGCCCGCTTCAGGACCAAGCAAGCTCCTGGACCAGGCAAGCTCCTGGACCAGGCACGCTCTTGGACTAGGCAAGCTCCTGGACCAGGCAAGCTCCTGGACCAGGTAAGCTCCTAGACCAAGCACGCTCATGGACCAGGCATGCTCTTGGACCAGGCAAGCTCTTGGACCACGCTGGCTCGTGGACCAGTCACGCTCCCGGACCAGGCAAGCTCCTAGACCAGGCAAGCTCCTGGACCAGGCAAGCTCCTAGACCAGGCACGCTCCTGGACTAGGCAAGCTCCTACACCAGGCAAGCTCCTGGACCAGGCAAGCTCTTGGACCAGGCAAACTCGTGGACCAGGCTCGCTCCTGGACCAGGCAAGATCCTGGACCAGGCAAGCTCCTGGACCAGGCAAGCTCTTAGATCAGGCAAGCTCCTCGACCAGGCACGCTCCTGGACTAGGCAAGCTCCTAGACCAGGCAAGGTCCTGTACCAGGCAAGCTCCTGGACCAGGCAAGCTCGTGGACCAGGCACGCTCCTGGACTAGGCAAGCTCCTGGACCAGGCAAGCTCCTGGACCAGGCAAGCTCCTCGACCACGCAAGCTCTTGGACCAGGCAAGCTCTTGGACCAGGCAAGCTTTTGGACCACGCAAGCTCCTCGACCCGGCAAGCTCGTGGACCAGGCACGCTCTTGGACCAGGCAAGCTCCTGGACCAGGCAAGCTCCTAGACCAGGCAAGCTCCTGGAGCAGGCAAGCTCGTGGACCAGGGAAGCTCCTAGACCACGCAAGCTCCTGGACCAGGCAAGCTCCTGGACTAGGCAAGCTCCTGGACAAGGCAGGCTCGTGGACCAGGCACGCTCTTGGACCGGGCAAGCTCCTGGACCTGGCAAGCTCCTGGACCACGCAAGCTCTTGGACCACGCATGCTACTGGACCAGGCAAGCTCTTGGACCAGGCAGGCTTCTGGACCAAGCAAGCTCTTGGACCAGGCAAGCTCCTGGACCAGGCAAGCTCCTGGACCATGCAAGCTCCTGGACCAGGCAAGCTCCTGGACCAGGCAAGCTCCTGGACTAGGCAAGCTCCTGGACCAGGCAAGCTCTTGGACAAGGCACGCTCCTGGATCAGGCAAGCTCTTGGACCAGGCAGGCTTCTGGACCAAGCAAGCTCCTGGACCACGCACACTCCTGGACCAGGCACGCTCTTGGACAAGGCAAGCTCCTGGACCAGGCAAGCTCCTGGACCAGGCAAGCTCCTGGAACATGCAAGCTCTTGGACCAGGAAAGCTCCTGGACCGAGCAAGCTCCTTGACCAGGCAAGCTAACGGACCAAGAAAGCTCCTGGACAAGGCAAGCTCCTGGACCAGGCAAGCTCCTGGACAAGGCAAGCTCCTGGACCAGGCAAGCTCTTGGACCAGGCAAGCTCCTGGACCAGGCACGCTCCTGGACCAGGCAAGCTCCTAGACCAGGCAAGCTCCTGGACCAGGCAAGCTCCTAAACCACGCAAACTCGTGGACTAAGCCCGCTCCTGGACCAGGCAAGCTCCTGGACCACGCAAGCTCTTGAACCAGGCAAGCTCTTTGACCAGGCACGCTCCTGGACGAGGCAAGCTCCTAGACCAGGCAAGGTCCTGGACCAGGCAAGCTCCTGGACCAGGCAAGCTCCTGGACCAGGCACGCTCCTGGACCAGGCAAGCTCCTCGACCAGGCAAGCTCCTGGACCAGGCAGGCTCGTGGACCAGGCACGCTCCTGGACTGGGCAAGCTCCTTGACCTGGCAAGTTCCTGGATCACGCAAGTTCTTGGACCAGGCACGCTCCTGGACCAGGCAAGCTCGTGGACCAGGCAAGCTCTTGGACTAGGCAAGCTCCTCGATCAGGCAAGCTCCTGGACCACGCAAGCTCCTGGACCAGGCACGTTCGTGGACCAGGCACTCTCCTGGACCAGGCACGTTCCTGGACCAGGCAAGCTCGTGGACCAGGCACGCTCCTGGACCAGGCAAGCTGCTGGACCAGGCAAGCTCCTGGACCACGCAAGCTCCTGGACCAGGCAAGCTCCTGGACCAGGCAAGCTCTTGGACCACTCATTGTGCCTCTCATTCGGAACTCATTTCGCTGCTCCTTCGAGATCCCCTATCGGTAAGACTCTCCAGAATTAGCTTCCTCCTTTGCCACTCATGCTCTGCTCCTTCCCATTCCACACCACTGACAACCCTTCTGCTGCTACACCAGCCTTAAGTCAACCGCCCCCCTCCTGTCTGGTCTTGACCCCCCCACACACGCAGCAGCCTCACCATCAGCTGCATCGACTCAGTGTGCGCGTCCAATCACCACCGCTCACCATAGCGCGCCGCTCACCATAACGCGCCGCTCACCATAACGCGCCCCGGCTGTCGATCATCCCACTCACTGTCGGTCACCCCACTCACTGTCGGTCACCACACTCACTTTCGGTCACCACACTCACTGTCGGTCACCACACTTACTGTCGGTCACCACTCACTGTCGGTCACCACACTCATTGTCGGTCACCACACTCACTGTCGGTCACCACACTCACTGTCGGTCACCACACTCACTTGTCCCTATGCGACCGGTCGGTCCCCATGCGACCGGAAAATGTTAGCAAACTAGTATAGCTTGAAGAACAATGTTCAGTCCTCATACTGTACATGCAGCAGTTGCACTCTTCTTTTATTCCTATACGCGTTCTTTGCAGCATCCGCCTCTGCTGCCTGATGCCTTCTTAGCAGCTTCTTCCTCTGCCTCCTTGTCATGCGAGGAAAGTGGGAGAGGAGTAACACCATGCTGGTAGTTGATGCAATGCCATGCAATGTGATGTAGTAACCCATGCGATTGTGTCATGCAACTTAATCAATGATGTGTATGGCCATGCGCATGGGTCTTGTGGTACTATAGCAAAGAACGTAAAACATTGTTGTATGGTATGTGAACCCTGACTGTTCCTGCCGTATGCAACCACAACTCTGGTCATTTCCAGTTCTAAAATGCCATGTAGTGTGGGTGTCAAAGCACCACCCTCCACTGCAACTTGTCACAAAATATCTCCCCCCCACCCTTTTGCCATTCCCACACCATGGCCACACTGCCATTAGCAGGTGCCGAGTCAGCCCTGTGTAGCAGCACGAGTCAGCATGAGTGTGTAAAGTCGTGCCAGGAAGGCGTTATGCAACGCAGAGCCGTTGGTCGGCACCAACACACACACGCCCTGCGACTTGACCACGCTGCTGCACAAGTGTGGCCACACACCACACACACACCCCCTCTCCCCCCTCCCCCCTCCCTCCCTTGCCACGGTCACTGCTGCTGCAGATGCCTGCCACGTGAACCTCAGCCTCATTGAGTCGCACCCTCTGCGTGCTGATGGCACGGGGAACAAGAGCGAACGCAAGGATGACAAGCAGGAGCCATGGTCAGACAGATGCCATGACATGAAACAGAGATGCGCATCACCATACAGCAGGGTGTTAATGCATCCCCCTCGCAGACAACACAAGGTCCTTCCCATTCGGTTGCCTCTCAATAAAATCTCCCATATCCGTGCCCCTTACCATCCACCACACTCAGCTACCGCCCATGCGCCTGCAGCTCTGCCTCGGCGGCCCTTCTCTTCTCCACCTCCCTCTCCACCTCTCCCTTCAAGCGCTCCACCTCCTGCTGCAGTCGGTCCCTCTCCGCTGCCACTCCCCGTAGCGCCACCTCCCTGCTCTGCACCTCGCCCCTCTCCACATGCAGCGCCCGCTCCACCTCCTGGCGCCATGCAGCCGACAAAGGGGACGAGGAGGGACACGGAAAGAGAGTGGGTTTACTGGGATGGCCAATGATTGGATACTGGGTCCAACAGCTTGCTCTATGACCGCTGCCAACAATTCACCTAGAACTCAGTGAATGAGGAACACTAGACAGTTACCTAGAGCCAGAGCAATACGGCACAGGCACTCGGAGAACACAGGATGGGATGGGCAGGGAGGAATCGTAAGGCGAAACATGCATACCTCAAGGCGCCTCTTCTTTGCAGCATGCGGTGCTGTGGGCACCGCAAGGACCCTTCCCCCCTCCGCAACCCCAGGCACTGTCACTGTCACCAACCTCCCGTCCACTCTCCCTGCACCAGCACCGTCACCATCGGCAGTGCCAGCAGCGGCAGCATGCGGCACAAGAGGCATGGCAGGTGCCACAGGTTCTTGTAGCCAGTGCGCTACCACCTGCTCCTCCTCGTCGTATGACTGCAGCATGCAGCGCAGGGAGTCCCTCTCCCGCACCACCACTGCCATCTGCACTCGTGGGAACGCAGTGGCGGCCGTGTTGGCATAAGGGCATGTGCATGCGGGGTTGGGAGAGTGAAACCCAGTGAGTGGCCCAAAGGAGATCTATGTCGCTTGTAAGCGAGAAGGATGAGCGGGCTGGGTCAACCGCAGGGGAAGAGGGGTAATGAGGCGTGAGGAGAGCGACGAGGGTGGGAAACCGGGCAGGAGGGAGGGGAGAGGGGGAGGGGGAGGGGTATGGGGAAGGGCGGGCAGGGGTGCATGGGGCGCACCTCAGAGTCCTTGCCATCCAGCTGCCCCTGCAACTGCACCACCTGCCGCCTCGCATCGCTCTCCCCCGCCCTTGCCTCCTGTGCTGCCCTCTCTGCTGCTGCCACCGCTGCTCTCAGCGGCACCACCTGCGCTGCTGCCTCGCCCGCCTCTGCCATTGCACACAGAGCCGCACTGCCAAGTGCACAAGGGGAGGGGGGGGGTGGTGCGGGAAGGTTTGGGGGATGGTGAAGTCAAACAGGGACTACAAAAAAAAAAAAAAAAAAAAAAAGGCACAGGATGTTGCCGGACCTGCTGCGTGGTTGCACGCACAACAAAAGGGGCACAACTCGAAGAAGATCCAGAGAAGGCACTGCCTTCTCAATGAGTGTTACCTCTGCACCTTCCCAATGGCAGCAACCACATCTTCAGGCCCGTATTCCTTGCCTTCCACCGTCCCTTCGCCACCACCACCCCCACGCCCTGCTCCCTCATCTTCTCCGTGCCCCGCCACAGCCACTCCTGCCTGTGCCTCCTCTGCGCCCTCCGGCTTAGTCCCCCTGGTCCCATGAGGAACCAGGACAGAGGCGGCGAGGTGAAGGGCAGGCGAGTGCAGCAGGGCGCGCCAGCGCTGCAGGTCGCGCTGGGCGCGCCTGAGCTGCACTGCCATGTCTGCCGCTGCTGCTGCTGCCGCCTCTGCTGCATCCGCCCTCGCTCGCTCCACCAGCACCTCCTGCTGCAACACGTGCCACCGCTGCCGCCCCTCCTGCTGCCTCTCCGCCTTGCTCACCTGCTCCAGCTGCACAGCGGATTGGGGGAGAGAGAAACAGCTCTGTGACTTTGAATCGAAGTGAGCCGACTCAAAGGGTCTCTGCTTTAACCACCTGCTCCAGGTGCACGGGTGATGGAGGGAGAGAAGCACATGAGAGGAAGGTGGCGACAGCCTTGCCAACAAACTTGTCGAATGTGAGCAGGGAAGAGTGTGATTCTTGCTCATACCTACCTTACACCACGACCGCCCCCTCAACCTCATCCCCTTCCACCACTCTCATCCCCTTACTCCCTCAAGTTTTTTCCCTTCCACCCCACACACTCCATGCCCATCATCTCTCCCTCCCCTCCTCCCCTTTCCCCCCATGTCACAGCACCAGGAGGCGGTTGTCCTCTCGCAGGCGGGCCAGCAGCGCATTGGCCTCCACAGCCGAGGTCGACTTCCCCAGCGCGCCCTCGCCCCTCACGCGCTCCAACTCACACCTCACATCCGCCGCCTCCCTCACCGCCTGCCACACACACACAGGTAGCCAACGGGAGAGCGGGGCGGGAGGAGGGGCGAAAGTGGTACGTCGAACCAATGCGTTTGAATAACTTTACATTGACTTGCCAGGTCATGTCATGCATGAGATCATTCATGCCCTCACACCAGGAGCATCACCAAGCAGCACTTGAGCATGCTGCGCGAACCTCTGCATGCTGCGCGCACCTCTGCATGCTGCGCGCACCTCTGCATGCTGCGCCCTGAGAGCGTCTGCTTCGTCCTCCAGTGACTCCATCTCCACCCCCATCGCCTCCATGCGACTCACTCCCATGCGCACCTGATGCTCCACACAGGGGGAGGTGGGAAAGGTGGGGGAAGGGGGGTGAAGGCACGCCAAAGACGTACGCATGTGAAGGGTGGAAAGGGAGCACAGACCAAGGCGTGGAGCTTTGAAGCGCTTCATACTGCATGCCATAGCATTTCCATTAGTCACTTTCAAAAGCCCTCTTAACCACAGCATACCACTGCTTGCCTCATTCGCGCTTGCTTGTTACTACAACCCCCATGCCCATACCGCCTGCACCCAAGCACCCCACCTCAGCCTCCAGTCGCGCTATCTCCCCCTCTGTGTGTGCTCGCACACCCGCCACCTCCCGTTCCCGTGCCGCCTGCACCGCGCGCACCTCCTCCTCCGCCCTCGCCTGCCTTGCCTCCGCTGCTGCCGCCCGCGCCTCTGCTGCTGCTGCTTTCGCCTCTGCCTCTGTGCTCCGCTTCGTGAGGTTCAGCACTTGCAGCTGGGACGGGAAGCGGGGGGAGAGGGCAAGGGAGACGGAAGAGAAGAAAAGAGGGACAGGTGCGACTAAATGGGGGTGGAAGGAATAAACAGAAAGGTGCAACTGACAAGCCTGAGAAAAGCAGAGAGGAGGAGTTAAGCGGATAATATCTAAGCCTCCCTGTGCTGGACACCGCGTGGTCCATTCACCTCGAGCTCGTGGCAGCGCTTCATCTGCACTCGAATACTCTCCTCCGCCCTCTCTGCCGCGCGCCTCCTCTGCTCCTCCCTCTCCTTACCGCTCTCCCTCACCGCCACCGCCTCTCGCTCCAACGATGCCACCTGCTGCTGCAGCCGCGCACACTGCTCCTCTGGTGCTCCCAGAGACACAGCGCACATGGGGCGCAGCCACAGCAATAGGAAGGACACAAGTGAACATGTGACAATAAAAAGAGAAGTGAGTGACGGAAATGTGTGCGTCACGAGGAGTGGAGGCTGATGTCATGGCAGCGAGGAGAAGCAGGCAAGCGAGGGCGCCATGGCACTAGGAGGTCTGGAGAGAGCAGGGAGAGTGCATGCGATGCCATGTGAAGGCAACAGCGGAAGCTAGGGTTGAAGAGGGGGTTGGGCGGTGGGATACCAGCTGCAGTGAGGGCAGCTGCAGTTTGGTGGTGGGTGCGTGTGAGATCTGCAAGCTGCTTCTCCACATGCGCCGTGTGAGCCATGAACTCCGCCTTCACCTGCCACGCCATGCCATGCCATGCCACACATGCCATGCCATGCCATGCCACACATGCCATGCCATGCCACACATGCTATGCCATGCCATGCCACACATGCCATGCCATTCCACACACCCACACCAACATGAGCAGGAGGAGGGGGCTTGAGTGACATGATTGTTAGTACAATATGAACCCCTGCCACGGCCATGGTGAATGGTGATCCACATGCATTACCATGTTCCTGCACTTGTACGTGCACCGCATCCCATCCCACTCCCTCCAATCAAACGCCTCCTCCTCCTCTTCCTCCTCCTCCACCCTCTCCTCCTCCGCTCTCCTCCTCTTCCCCACCACCCCACCTCCTCCCCTTACACCAAGCACCTCACCACCCCTCCACTCGCCCATCAGTGCCAGCGCCCCTACTCTCCCATCCTCCTCGTCCTCACCCTCCTCCTCCCCACCGGACAGGGGCAGCAGGGGCACGGCACACGACCCCAGGGCCAGCTGCTGCCTCCTCCCGCGCCACCCACCCACCACACCAGCACGCCCCTCGCCTCCCCACTCCAGACGCTCCCTGCCCCTCGCCCCTGCAGTCTGTGGTGCCAGCCCTGCCAGCACGGCTGCTGCTGTCCGGCTGCGCTCGCTCCACCTGCATGGCACTGCTCCCGCCCCTGCCACCACTGCCCCCCCTGCCTGCTGCAATGGGGCGCCCCTGTGGCCTCGCCACCGCACCTGCAGACCAGAGAGACTCGCCTCTGCCTCTGCTGCTGATGCTCCTGCTCCTTCTGCTGCTGCTGCTCCTGATTCTCCTGCTGCTGCCACAAGGGCAGGAGGCTTGCCTGGAAAACCGTGGGCATCAGCAGTGACTGAGTCAGGTGCGCCCCCGGCACCAGTGGCACCTGCTTTGACGCCCTCTTCCAGGGTTTCACCTGGCGCCAGGGAAGCAGCAGCAGTGAGAGCAGCAGACTCATCACCACCACGTGCCGCCACTTGCACTGCTGCGACTGCCGCTGCTGCCACAGGCGTTACTGGCACTGCCGCTTCGGCCAGCACTAGTGCCTCGCCCCCACCTGCTGCACCATCCCATGCTGCCATCTGCTCGTCACCACCCCACCCATCCTCACCACCGCCCTCCACACCCTCCAACTCCTCCACCGCTGCTGCTCCTTCCCCAACCGTGCGTACCATCCCTGCCTCGTCTCCCCCTTGTGCCTCCCCCTCCCCATCTCCGCCACTCCCCCTCGCCATCTCCCCCAGAAACTCCTCGAACCCTGCCCCCTCCGCATCCCCCACGTCACTGCCCCATGCTCCATCCACCTCCATGCCGTCATCTCCGCCCATTCCCCCTGCTGCCTCCACGCCTTCTGCCCCTCCCTGCCCTGCCCCCTCTCCTGCACTCTCCTCTTCCTCGTCCTCCCCTTCCTCCTCGCCGGGCTCCATCCTTCTCACACTCACTTCCCTCACCCCATCACACACACCCTCCGCTCGCTGTCCGCCCTCTCCCTCCTCCCCCTCCCCCTCCTCATCATCATCATCCAGGTCAATATGCACGGGTTGCCTGCTCGCTCGCCCCCTCGCGCCCTCCCTGTCCCCTGATACAACATAACACCCCCCGTGCCCACCCCACTGCTCCTCCTCGCCTTCCTCCGCCTCCCCTTCGCCACCTCCCTCCTCTTCATCGTCTTCTTCCTCCTCCTCACCTCCGCCCCTCCCCTCCACCTCTTGTACCTCGTCATCCTCCTCCCCCTCGCCTTCCCCTCCCCCGTACGCCTCTCCTTCCTCGTACCCCTCGCTCTCACCCTCGTCCCCCTCCTCGAGCTCCACCTCCTTTCCTTCCTCTTCGCCCTCCCCCCCTCCATCGGACCCGTCCTCTTCCTCCTCCTCTCCTACCCAGTCCCGGTCATCGTCTGATTCATCCTCCCCCTCCGCCTCCTCCCCCTCCCCTCCCGCCGCTCTCTCCCTTTCCCCCCACCTGCCTTGCTCCGCCTCTTCCTCCCCTTGCGCCACCCCCGCTTCCTCCTCCCCGCTGCTCTCTCCCGCTTCGCTCCCCCTTCCCCCTCTCGCCGCGCGCATTCCCCCCTCCCGTCGCGCGTCTCTCTCCTCGTCCACGCCCCCATCGTCCTCCTCCCCTCCGCCCACCACCTCCCCTTCCTCTCCCCCGTCCTCCCCGTCCATTCCCCCCTCGATCACATCCCCCCCGCCCGCTCCCCCGCCCCCGCTTCCCTCAGCGCCACCGCCATCATCGTCCGCGTCTCCCCCCATAACCTGATCATTGTCGTCCGCCTCCCCCTGCTCCGCCCACCTGTCTTCCCCCTCCCCTTCCTGCTCGCCGCCTCCTTCCGCCTCCGCCCCCGGCCCCCATCGATCTCCACCAACATCTCCCCCGTAGTAACCATCCTCCACCTCCGCCTCCCCGTGATCCCCGCCATAGTCTCCGCCGGTTCCGCCTCCCCCCGCAGCAGCGCCACGCGCGCGGTGCCGGTCGTCGCGGTCCGGTTCATGCGACTCCAGCTCCCCCGCAGCCACGCCCTCCCAATCCCCGCCTCCCCCGCGCCCCTCGTGGTACGCCATGCCTGCGCCCTCGCCTTCGTCCTCCTCTTCCTCCCCGCCGCCCGCCGCGCGCCGATCGGGGGAGTCCGCGGGGTCGCCCTCGTCCACCCCGCCGCTGTCCTCCCCGGCGTGCGCCGCCGTCAGGCGGATGTAATCGGGCGCGCCCGACTCCGCGCCGTCGCCGCTGCCGCCGCCGTGTAAAGCTCCGCCGCCATCGCCGCCGTCCGGAGGAGAATCCTCGCGGGGAACCGGCCGATCCGAGGATCCTGCACCGCCCGCCGCCATGTGCGGTGGTAACGAGAGCGGAAGCAGGACGGCAAGGACGGGGTTGCGGTGGTGACTAGCAACGCTTAACCCAGGTATGGCCTAGCAACGCCTTCTTTTAGTTGCGAGGTCAGCGACTAGAAGACCCAACTTGCTGAGTGACTAGTTTATCTGAATTGAAACTTTACTGTCTATGAGCGTGTAACTTTTTTGCATTTTGTGATTTTGACGTACCGTCCGATTTGAATGTTTGCAACTTCGGACGGTACGAATGCATATGTGACACTTTTTCCACATGCTAGGGTTCCGCGATGGTATTCCTTTCGCCATCTCAAATGTACACTAGTAACGCCAGTCACAACCCTTCGCAATTTTCGCCTGTGGAGTTCAGCGCTTCGGAGTAGTGAGTTGTGAGTCAATGTCGTGGCTTCTTGTATTGTAGTGAGGCTAGTTGTGGTTGGACAATGTCAACTTTTGAATCCGAGCCGCATTTTCCAATGTTCTAGCGAGGCGGTCCGCTGAAATCCAAATTCGCCCGCCAATCGCGTGCGCGGACAAGCGGACAGTCCGTTTGTGTTTCGGACCGTCCGTTGTCAGTGTTTCGTGTCGTTGGAAAGTGGAAAAAGTGTCATGACGGTTCGTTCTTGTAGCGACGTCGCACACATCCTCGCGAAAAAATGCACGACATTAAACGATAATGGTAACCCTTCGCATCGACGTACGGTCCACGGTTCGTTCCGTCGGGTTCAAAAAAGTTACACACCCTATGCCTCGTGGTTAGGCTCGGGATATTCGTTGTGATGATTTCAGATCGACCTGAGTTCCCGCGGTGTGCAAAAACATGGGAAACAGGTGCAAAAGAAGCCTGTATCGAATTTTTTTTAGATGCCTGGTTTTATGCACAGTTCACAGAAACTGATAATGCAATTGCAATAATGAAACATGCACTAGAAACACCCAACTATAAGTGTACCAATGGGGGGCACAAATCCATCTACACTAATGAGGGGGCCAATTCAATCAGCCAATTTTGCCACGAAGGCCGTGGCATTATTACACTCCCACCACCCTGTGGCCGCCGACATTCCATGGCAGATCTATTGAAGGGCATCCTAGTGTTCCTAACTAATGGCACGCCCAGCCACCATGCAGGGTAGTTCTGAGAGAATTCAAAAGTACCCTGCATTATTGCGCGGAGTGGAATGAAGGGGCGCAAATGGCATGGAAACTAGGCCGCCTCGCCTGGGGAGGGAATGAAGGCACCATGGCACGCATGCTGGCATGGTGCAGAGCGGCCACATGGCAGGTGCTATAACTAAAACGAATGGAATGGCAGGGTGCGAGGATGGCGTGGGGATGAGAGGGTGAGATTGAGTGTGGCGCTGCCATGCTGCAGGGAGAGCCGCTTCACTGCGTGAGTGACGTTTGCACCCTGGTGTGCAGCCCAGGCAGTGCGAGCAGCACGGGCAGCAGGAAGCAAACGGAGATGATGAGGGGGAGGATGGCAGTGGGGTGAGAGCAGCAGGGGTGCGGCGCTTGTCACTGCTTGGCGAACTCCCATGGCTTGACGACGACTATTATGATGACCACTATGATTATGATCACCAGGATGACGCCACAGCATATCCACTGCCATGCACCCACGATTGAGGGGGGAGGATCATGGGAAAGGGGTCAGACGGGGAAACCAGCAGCATTGCTACATCACCAGGCATCCCCATTTGAAGTGGGGGAGGGAAGGGGACATGGAGGACGAAAGGGTTCAAGGAAGGGCGAAGAAAAAGGGAGGAGGGCAGAGAGAGGGGGGTTTTGGAGGCGAGGAGAGGCGGCGCAGAGGGGCAGGGCGGCAGGGCGGCAGGGCAGGCAGGGCGGCAGCGCGGCAGGGCAGGCAGGGCAGGCAGGGCGGCAGGGCAGGCAGGGCAGGCAGGGCGGCAGGGCAGGTTACCTTGCGTGTGTTGAGCTGGGTCTTGCGCGCCTTCACGAGCTGCTTGGTGCCGTGCTGCACGTGGTCCACGGCCTGCCCCACCTGCACCTCTATGTTGTCCAAGAGCTCGCCCTGTGACTCCACCAACACTGCCATGTCCATGAATATCTGCCACCGTGATGTGTATATGTACATGCACACACAAATGCACATGCATATGCACGCACGCACGCACATGCACACATGCACATGCACATGCATATACACGCACACACATGCACGCATGCACGCACATACATACATGGACTCTCGTGCCACCACGCATCACACATGCATGCACTCACACCCACAATGGGAGAGAGGAACGCGAAGAGGAACCGAAAGGGAACGTGGTGGGGAAGAGGGGGGGTGGGGAGAGGGGAAACAGGACTGTCAGAAGGAGAGAGGAGCATGGAGGAGAAAAGGATAACAGGAAATTATGTATGACGAAGCATGTAAGTATACATAAAAAACGAGGAAGAAACAGTTAGAATGGCGGCGGGCAGGGGGTGTGGGGTGGGAGTGAGAAACACAATGGCGACAGAGGGAGGAGAAAGAAAGAGGGGGTGGGCTGGCAACGAGAAGAAGAGTAAGTGAGGAACAGAGGAAAAAATGAAGGAGGGAAGGAGTGGAGAATGGGGGCAGGCGGGGAGCGGTAGTGAGAGCAGAGAGCACCTGGTGCAGCTCGAGCAGCTGCTTCTCAATGTCCTGCACTGCGCTGTGCCGCTCCTGGATCTCCGCTAGCGTGTCCATTAGCTGCCAGTGCAGTGCATACACGGGGGGCGAGTGGAGCGGAGTGAAAGGGAGCGGCGGGGTTACCAAAGTGAACTGTGAGGTGCATTAAGGTGCACGGCACGGTGCTGTGCTGCTGCTCAGGCGAGGGCAGGGCACACAAGCATGGGGTGGTGAGATCACAGATGCGAGCAGCAGGCATGCGGGAATGCCTTGAAAGGCGTGGTGCTGTGAGCAAAGGCTGAGTGGCAAAGGTGGCAGTGAGAGCAGAGATGGGGGCAGCGGAACGTGGGCAGAGCAGCAGCGCGCACCTGGCCGCGGCCTTGCTCCTGAATGGCCTTCTGGAATATGGACTCGCTGTCGCCCGTCTCTATCAGCGTGTCTATCGTCTGCCACCACCACCCAAGCAGGGGCAGGGGCGCAAGGGACGCGCGAGAGGTGCAGGTTAGAGGGAGAGGCAGACGAGAGGGTGGAGAGGCAGGCAGGCACAGAGAGCTGAAGGGGGGGAACTGATTGCTGATAGGTGAGCGGAGCAGCAGAGCAGGAGAAAAGCAGAGGAGCAGAGAAGGCATGCAACAACTGATGGGCGGGCAAAGAGGAGAAGAAGTGACGACAAGGGGAGGGGTGGGGCGTGCATGGAGGAGAGGAGGGCAGGGAGGGAGAATACCTCCGAGTCAGCGCGCTTGCCCGTTACTGTAGTACAGCATGTGGCAGAGAGGAGGAGACGAGGGCACAGCACCGCACAGCACAGCACAGCACAGCACACGAAAGAGAAGGAACGGTGAGAGCATGGAGGGGAAACCAGATACAGTTGCGATGTGTGGCGCACCCTCCTTGCCCCCTGAACCACCGAGCCCTAGGCCCAGTGGGCATGGAGTGCAGTGCAGTGGAGTGCAGTGGAGTGAAGAGGAGAGTGGAGGGGAGTGGTGGGTGGCAGTGAGTGACCTGTATAGTAGCGGCGCTCCACCACCTCCCGGTACTCGCTCTGGAACTTGCTGCGCAGATCCTGGTGTGTGCAGTGCACGGCATGGCATGCACACACATGGGTGCACCGCGAGCAAGGAGAGGGCGACGGGCGGGGGAGAGGGGCGCGAGGGGGACGGAGAGGGGAGGAAGGGATAGGGCGGGGGGAGGGAGGGGGGAGGAAGGGGGGAGAGGCGGGAGGGAATGAGTAAAAAGGCAGGGCGTCAAGGCAGGAGCAGTGGGGGAATGTGCGTGGCAGGTTGAAGGAGGCACGAGGGGAGCATGGCCCATGGCAACACAGGGTGCTACATGACAATCAATAGGCACAGAGGGGCAAGGGCGGCAGCTGCACCACACCAACTCACGCACGGGTGGAATGCAGTATGGGTGCGCAAGATGTGTGGGGAAAGGCAGAGGTGAGCGGCGGACGGGCAAAGGAGCAGTGTGGCACAGGAGTGCTGCGAGCAGGCGGGTTCTCAAGAACCAACAGCAGTATGGGCAGGGCAATGGCATGCGCGTGCAGTGAGGGCACGGCGGATGGCACGCAGTGGTCACCTGGAACTCGTTCATCAGCTCCTTGAGCTTCCTCTTCATCGTCCTGCATTCACCCATGCACGCCATGCACCCATGCACGCCATGCACCCATGCACGCCATGCACCCATGCACGCCATGCACCCATGCACGCCATGCACCCATGCACGCCATGCACCCATGCACGCCATGCACCCATGCACGCACATGCCCACGCACGCACCCATACCCCCGCACCACCCATGAATATGCATGCACGCCACCACGTGTGTGCAAATCATACATCCAGGCCAGCCCAGCACAACACTCATACAGGCCCCATCCACCGCACCCGCAATCTCCCAACCCGTACCCATCCCACCCACATCCCACGCATGGGGGAAATGAGAGAGTCACGCGTGAGAGTGTGAGTGAACATGAGCATGGGCCAGCAGGCAGTGGGGGCAGGGCACAGGGAGAGCCGTGGTGTGGTGTGGCGGTGCGCACAAGCACTGCTTGAGTAGCCCCCCGCGATAGTAGGGGCAAGGCGACAGGCAGGCAGGCAGGCATGGGAGCAGGCATGGAGGTGTGAGTGTGTGTGTGACAGACAGCATGTTGGGGAGACAGAGCTTATAAAAAAGAGGGTGGGAGCGGGAGGCGGACAAGGTACTGCTGGCAATGCAAGACGAACGAGAGTGAGTCAGTACATGAAGGTAGGGCGATGGACATGGCAAGAGCGACGGCTAGAGAAATGGCGAGGAGATGGCTAGAGGGATTGTGATGTGAGAATGAGAGTGAGACGGGGGGGCCCAGGGGGGAGGGAGAGAAGAGCGGGACAATGGCGGGGAGGGAGGGGTGAAAGAGGGGAGAGCACGCACGTGGTGATGGACATGCGAGTGCGGTCCGTGCCCGTGCCCTCCTCACACCCGGGCGTCTTCCTGCTCTCCAAGTTCTGCCACCATGCCATGCCACGCCAATAACCCCAAGTGATTCGGGGTCCCACGTTTCACAAATGACATGGGCAGAGGGGGAGGTGGGGTTGGTTGGGTTGGGAAAGAGGTGCAAGAGGATAGGTGTGCGCGGCAGTGGCAATGAGTCAGTGCAGAGGTCATGACGCCACGCCCCACAACTCTGAGCACCACTGCCACTGCCACACGGGGCCACCTAGTACCGTCAAGTTCGCGGAGTCGCTTGTGACTGCGATAATTTGCGTAAGTCTTCGCCGGTACCACTGCCACCCGGGGCCACCTAATACAGCCAAGGCCGTGGCAGGACGCGCGTGGCCGCGCCAAGCAGCAGCGGTGTGGTGGGGAAGGCAACGGCAGCAGGGCGGCAAGGCAGTGGGGCGGCAGCAGGGCAGGGCGGCACTGACCGCTCGATCGAGGGCCTCGATCTGGCGCTTGATGGCCTGCGCCACCTTGAGCACATCGTCTATGTCCGCCTCCATTCGCTCCTTCAACGCTGCCGTGCTCCGTGTGGAGGGAGAGGACGTGGAGGGGAAAGGGAAGGGGGAGGAAGGGAGGGGGGAAGGAAGTGGGGGGAAGGTAGAGATAGAGGAGGTGTGAAGTGAAGGCGAGGAAAGGGTGGCAGATGACGTCAAGCAGGAGCAAGGAGGCGGGGGAGGGGCGACACACTGACACATGGTGGGGAGGCAGGAAAGTGTGTGCACGAAGTGGGGGGTTGGGGGGAAGGGGGGAGGGGACGGGGAGGGAGGGGATAGAGCGAAAATGCAAGCAAGTGCAAGGGAGACGGCGCACCTTTCATGGCTGGCGCTCGCGTTACTAGCTTGCTCTCCTCGTTCGCCTCCTGCTCGTAAGCCCACATCGCACACGCCACACGACAGGTGCCACGCGCCACACGCCACACGCCACACGCGCACAAGGCAGCACGAGCACAGAACACACCCACGGGGTCAGAGGCACTAACGGCACGCACGCATTGCGCGTGGCGACGGCGCGCAAGTGCGAGATGGCGGACAATGCGGCGCGCAATGCAGACACCGCAGGCGCGAGAGGCGGCGCGAGGCGGAGAGGGAGGCGGCGCGGCACGCACCTGCAAGCTGTGAAGGCGGTGTCGAATATGCTCCATGTTGTTCTTGATGTCGTTCACCTGCTCGCACGCACCGCGCACACACCGCACACGCCGCTCAAATCAGCGCGCGCCCGTGAGTGACACGCGCAGGAAACGAAAAGGAAGGAAACGAGGAGGCAAAGCGAGGGAGGCGAGGCGAGGCGAGACGAGACGAGCGACGAGGGCAGCGGCAGCGGCAGCGGCGGCGGCGGGCGCACCTCGTCGAAGAAGAGCTGCATCTTGGGGTCCGTGCCGGCGCTCTCCATGAGCCCCGTCTCCATGTCCATCTCCTCCTGCTCCGCCGCCTCGCCATACCGCGGCGACGGCACGTCCTGCCACCCACCACACGCAACCACACACGAGCTCGTCAGGTCAGGCCGACGCACGCACGCGCGCGAGTGGCGTCACTGCATCGGTGCGAAGGTTTAGACAGAGCGCACGCAACGCTTCACCGTCGGCTGACACGTACCCCTAGTAAGTCGTTCATCCTTGCCCTGTTCGATGCGCGCAGCCGTCCGATCTAGCGGCTCGCAGGCAGTGCGCTGACGCAGAGAGGCCGGTAGGCGTGTGGGGTGAGTGTGCGGGGTCAGGTTGGGCGCGAGAAACCAGCAAACTGTAGCTATCGTGGGATTTCCTGACCACCCAGCACAGAGGAACTACCTCAACTGCACTGCACCGCACTGCACCGCTGGAGAGGAGACATGATTAGAGGTAACCCGACTTTCGTTGATTCCGTCGTCCCTTGAGCAAGAGGGCGGCAGATGGGGCAAAAGCATGTGCCATGGCAAACCCCAATGCCGTATGTGAACGCATGCTGGCCATTTTCCTGCCCAACCCCTCTTTCCGAGCATCAAAAAGGGAAAATATGTCACAAGTAACCATCATGGGACTCGATAACGTGAATGGTGAAAACGTACCGCGTACGATCACTGTATCGGGTTTGCTGACGGGTTTGGTAAGTGGGGTCACGGATTCAGTCACTAACAACAGGTAAGAGATCACGCGAATGGTCACACATGTAATTCCCGCCAAAAATTCTTGAAACTCCACAAAATTCCCGCTCGCGTTCGACCAATCATCTAACTTCAGAAACAAAAAAAAAAACCCGATCGGAGTCGGATTTGGTTTGGGAACGGATCAACCCTAAACACCTGGCGAATTGTGTTTAGGGCTGATTCATCGGAAAAAGCATCCAGGCTCGTTTTGGATATTATCTTTTTTGGGCGGGAGTTTCATCTGTGACCTTTCGCGTTTTTCTTTACCAGTTGATAGTGACTGACTCCGTGGAACGTTTTACCAGTTGCGTGAAAACACCCTTTGCTGTGACCGTACCCTTTATTTTGTTTTTACCAAAAGTATTGTCGAGTCCCATGATGGTTACAAATGGCATATTCTCCCCATTGGAAATGCACCTTCTATTGTACACATGTAAAATGTCTACAATCACAACCTCTACTGATCTCCCGTACATACATTTCAAAAACGTTTTCTTGTGTGATTCCATCAACTTCGTCAGGGATTTGCCAAGAATATAAGACATTTCTGTAAAGTGGAATGTAGGCAGCAAAAGCATCTCATTGGACAATCTGGTCGAAAAAGAAGTTTGTCGAAGCGCATCCTCCTTTTAAGACGCATCGGCTGTTGATCTCAAGCCTGTGGTCACAAGTTGGAGCCACGGACCACCCACCCCCACCTCATCATTGCTTCGCCATGCCAATGCCTTCGCGAGCACTATCCGCCCAGTTTCGCCCATTTTCGCAGCCATATTTTTTACTTCGCTTATCCTGCTCTGTTCCCTTGCCAAGTTTTGGCCGTCGTATCATTGGTGTGGCACAGCTGGTTGAAGAGTTGTTGTCCGAAGAGGGGAATGAGGCGTTTGGCGGAATTTGTGCCCAGCGAGCACACCCCTCCACGACTGCTTTGTCCTCCCCAGCGCCCATCGAGCACGCCCCTCAAGCTTCGCTCAGAATCACACCACCCCACCGTCTACTGCTCCTTGCCCCACTGTCTACTGACCTCCACTGCGTCTGCCACTGACCCCAAAAAGGGTAAACCCAGTAGAGCAACCTCGTCCTCTGCTCCTAACAAGCCTTCTATGCCTCAGACAGACCCATCGCACCTGGCCCACGAGTCCGCCTGTACAGTTCGACTATTCACTGCACGCACAACAGGGCAAATGCACCAATTCTCCCAGTTGCGCAACCCCACCCAGCGTGCCTTCCCTTCCTCACTATTTTCGAAACTCTCGCTTCTGTTTTCTCAAATCCTTGTGGAAGGTAAAATCTCAGGGGCGAGATTGCCGAGCCTCTCATACAATAATTCGGGACCAACCGTAGCAACGACGCGTCATAAGTGCCGGCACCACCATCAATACACGAGCCGTCAATACAGCGCAGCGCCATGCAAGACACCGCGGCGGCCTCTGAAGTCGCCCCGCAGCCTTCCGCGGGAATTGCGGCCGGCCCCCAACCGCCCCTCCGCGAACCCGACAAGGCCAAGAATGCGGCCAACCATCCACCTCCCGCGGAGGAGCGCCGCGCGCACGCCCACCAGCGCGCACACTCACCCTACCGCGACGCCCCTCCGCCGCCACACCCGTCGCACCGCGCGTTGCAGCCACCCTCCGTGAGCCCTCTCCGTCCGCCGCGGCCACGTCACCACTGGCGATCCGCGTCAGTCAGCGCAGCGGAAGAGATTGCGGCGGCGGCAGCAGCAGCAGGAGCTGATCCCGCCGACCACGCCACCATGCGCGCCGAGGATGACGGCGAAATCTCCGTCACGTGCTTCGGCGCCCCCGGCAGCCGCGGACGTGCGTGGCTCGGCGGAAAGGCGTCCGCCGTAAGCGGCGCGTCCGCCGCGGTGCTGGCTCCGTCCGCCTCGAAACGATGGCGGCGGCTCAAGGAGCAATGGCGGCATGCGGAGGGGCAGGGGGAGGGGGATTCCGGGGAGGCGGAGGAGGAAGAGCGTTCGGAGGCGGGGATAGAACACGCTGCAGCGAGCGCTGAGAGCAGCAGAAGTAGCGGGGGTTTGAACGGGGGCGCGGAGGATGGTGGCGCAGATGCGGGGAGAGCAGCGCTTCCAGAGAAAAAACCCGGGCTGAGGGGCAGAGCGGGGCCGTGGGGCTTCCGCTCCTTGTCCGTCACCGCCATTACCAACCCAGCTTCCGAACCTGACTCTTCCGAAGGTACTTCCGAGGCTAGGCCCGGGGCAGCGGAGGGGGGGATGGTGATGAACAGGCGCAGTGGGGTGGTGAAGATGATGCGATCCGTCTCCACCAACCACGCTCGGGCGTCGCCCTCGCCCGCTCTCCCCGCCCCTCCTTCCTCCCCCTCCTCCGCCTCCGCCTCCGCCTCCACGTCCGCCTCCTCCTTCCCCCCTGTCCCCTCCTCCTCCGTGGATTCGTCGGTGTCGCGCGCTGTCCCCCGCCTGCCGCATCTCTTCTCGCTGGTCAAGCGCCCGTCCACCGCCCGACCCACTGCAGCCCGTGCTGCTGCTGCCACCAGCGACAGCACCAGCGGGGAAGGTGGTGACATTAGCACTGGCACGGGCAGTGGCAGTGGCAGTGGCAGTGGCAGTGGCAGTGGCAGTGGCTGTGTGCAGAGCACCGCGAGCAGCTCAGGGGCTGGTGGGGGAAAAGAGGACCCAGCCGCACCTGACGGCACGCACGAAGCCTTTTCAGACGCAGTGGGGCGCTGCAGCGTTAGTGCCATTGCTGCTGCTGCTGCTGCTGACAGCATTGATGGCAGGAATTGGAGTGGCGAGTTGCAGCGTGGTGGTGGTGGCGGTGCGGGCCCAGCAGCAGCCCTGCTGCGCATGCCCAAGTCCCGCTCCGTCTCCGCCGCCCTGCCCTCCCGCCCACCCGTCACACGCACAGCGCCACACGCAGGGGGCTCGGACGCAGATAGGCCGGGTGACGGGCGGAGGAGCGCGGGAGCAGGGGAGCGTGATCGGGGCGGCGGTGTGCATGGCGAGGAGTCGGCAGGCAGGGGGCAGGTGAGGGGGCACCGTCACAGCAAGTCCCTGCAGCACGTGCCTACTCCGCTGCCCTTGCTGCACAATGGGGGCACAGGAGCGGGGGAACTTGGGAATTCCGCAACGAGCAGCAGCAGAGGAGGTGGGGTGAGCGGTACTGGCAATGCAGACGGAGGGGATGGTGTGGTGGCAGGGGAGGGTGCGGTGGTGGCGGCATGGGCATGGGGAGCACCGGATGCAGAGCGCTGGTTGGACGGCCACTCACGCCCTCCTTCCGTTGCCGGTCTTGATCAACCCCTCACCGCACACATCACCCTTGTGCCCACCGCCTCTCCTCCCGAGCCTGTTCAGCGTGTTAGCTCCGTGCCCGGAGCTGGTGTGCGGCCCAGATTAGCCAAGCTGCCTGGTTCGGGATTAGGCTCGGCGGCCAGGGGTGGTGTGGCGCCCCTGGTTGGCGCAGCAAGGATGTTCCGCAGCGCCAGTGAGGGAGGGCCGGGGCAGAGGAAGGCAGAGCACGCGGAGGGGGCGGGAGGCACAGCAGGGGGCGCAGGTGCAGCAGCTGCGCGGCTGTCACACCTGGGGTCGTTCCGGCAGGGGCTCAGATGGGGAGCGGGCGACGGGGGGGGAAAGGGGGCAGGCAGGGCGGAGAGAGACGCAGTGGGCAGTGCTTTGGTGGGTGGTGGAGCTGGGAACGCAGGTGAGCGTGCAGCAGCAGGAGGAGGGAGCACGAGTGGAGGTAGCGTGCGGGTGGTGTGCCTCACAGAGGATGTGCATTCCGATCGTGATCCTTCCCCTGCCGTTGCAGCACCTGGATCAGGCGCACACGCAGGAGAACAAGGGGCATTGGCTACAGCAGTATCATCGGGAGGAACTGGAGGCGGTGCTGTGGCGCTGGTGGGGGGGAAGGCTATAGTGCGCGGGTCCATCATATCGCCCCTGCGCACCCAAACCCCTGCTACCACCGCTGCTGCTGCTGCTGCTGGGAGTAGCAGTCGCAGCAGCCGGCGCAGCAAGGGACAGCAGCAAGAGAGCGAGCCTGCGGGTTCCTCCCCTCTCCATGCTGCGCCTGACACCCCACACTCCCCTGTGGACAGCCCTGGTCCCTCTGCCAGCGAGCACGGCACCACGGCCTCTGTGCTCGCCCCGCTCGCCCCCGCACAGGTGGTCTTCGTGCCGCGCCTGCTGCCACCCGCCGCTGTGAGAGCACCCGCGCTGCACTCTGCACCGCGCGAGGCTGAGGGGGGACGCACTGTGGGAGCAGCAGCTGCCGCCGCTGCTGCAGCCGCCACTGCTGCTGCTGCTGGCACTGACAGTGGGTTTGGGGGGGGCAGTGGCAGTGAGGGTGGCGGGGGCAGGGTGGGGCGGCACAGGCGAGTGGAGTCGGACCCGTGTGTGGGGGCCGTGCTGAGACGCACTGGTGAAGGCCGGTGGGGCCATGGCTCCAAGAGGAGTGGCGCGCACAGCACAGCAGGCACAGGCGCCTCATGGGATGTAAACGGCGGGGGGGAGGGTGAGGGAAGAGAGGGTGGGGAGTTGGGAGGGGGGAGTGGAAGTGAGGGGGGTGATGCAGCAGAGGGTCCGGCAAAGGCCATGGTGCTGGGCGGGATTATGATTGCGAGGGGGCGCAGGGAGCACAGCACGAGCGCCCCTGCTTCTGGTGGGAGTGGCAGTCGGGGGCGACACCGCGTGGGCAAGGGGGCGAGGGGGCTGGGCGGGGGCAGGGGCGGAGGGGGTGCTGGAGAGGGAAAGGCGGATGGAGGGGCGGAGGATGGTGTAGAGCCTGGGGAAGGGAGTGTGGTGGAGCGAGGGGCGTGGGGCGGCAGAGGGGCGAGGGGAGTGTATGGGATGGACAAGGTGCTAGCACAGCTGGCACGGCTGGAAGAAGACATGGCTGCCAAGGGTAAACCACCCCGGAAAAACAACAACAGCCGGGGAGCTGCAGATGCTGCTGGTGGAAGTGGGGGTGGGCGCGGCAGGAAGAAAGGAGTGCGAAAGCAGAAGGGAAGGGCGCGTGAGATGATGGGAGGTCCTGGCGATGGCGATGGCAATGGCAGTGGCGATGGCAGTGGCGATGGCAGTGGTGGTGTGAGAGGCACGCGAGGTGCACGGCTGATGGGGCTGCGTGCAGCACAAACTCATGGGCCAGCCGGGGAGGGAGCAAGAGGAGCCTTGAGAGGAGTAGCAGGTGGTGCGAAACAGCGTGACTCTGCGAGTGCCTCTGCAACGCCCACAGGGGCAGAGGGACTTGCGGGGTATGTGGGGAATGTGGGGGAGTGTCACGGTGACGAGTGGTCGGAGGCGGCAGCAGGAGAAAGAGGGCGAAGAAGAGAGAAAGGGGGAGGCGGAGAGAGAGACTTGGAGGTTGCACGGGGCGGCGAGATTGGCAGCTCTGGTGGCAGCAGCAAGGTAGGGGAGCAGCGAGTGGTGGAAGGTGCAGTGGAGGAGGATGGGGAGGACAGCGAGGCATGGGTGCAGGAGGTGCTGCGGCGCAACAAGGCTGTGTGTATGCGCATGGGGGGAGGGAGGGCGCAGGGGCATGGGGGAGAGCAGGGGGCGGACCATGGGGAGGGCGGGGTAGAGGGGGAAGGGGGAGACGGCGGGGAGCATGAGCAGTGTGGGAGCTACAGCGAGGAGGAGGCACAGCACCGGGCAGCGCAGTGGCTGCGGCAGCAGGGCGCACCGGAGCCGTGGGCGCACGCCCTGAGCCTGCGCCTGCACCGCCTGGGCGGCAGCTGGGAGAGCGAGGACGTGGTGGTGGTTGACCACCATGGGCGGCAGGTCGCCCCAGGGGGAGATGCCCGGGGGAGAGGTGCACACGGGGTGGAGGGCACGGGGGGGATGGGCGAGGGGGAGGGCCCGGAGGGGGCGGGGCGTGGGAGGAGGAGGAGGGTGGAGTATGAGTACGGGGCGCAGTACGAGCTGCTGCGCATCCTGAGCGGCGGGTTTGCTGTGAGCGATGATGATGCCGCATCTGTGGCGTCAGGTGCAGTGGATATGATGCTGGTGGACATGGGGGGTGGTGGGGGCATTGGGGGAGGTGGGGGCATTGGGGGAGGTGGGGGCATTGGTGGGGTTGGGGGGGGCATGGGAGGGAGTATGGGTTTGGGTGTGGGTGGGTTGGGGGTGGTTGGGCACACTCCCAGGGGCGTGGGGATGCTGCGCACAGCCAGTGGGCGGTGGGGCAGTGGCGCTCTGGCAGGCCGGCTGGGGAGCGGCACCTGGGGGAGCGGGCGCCTGGGGAGTGGGCAGTGGGGGAGCGGGCAATGGGGGAGTGGGCAGTGGGTGGGGCATGAGGTGTGGGGGGACGTGGTTCAGGAAGGGAAGGAGGGAGAGGAGGAGGAGGAGGAGGAGGAGGAGGAGGAGGAGGAGGAGGAGGAGGAGGAGGAGGAGGAGGAGGAGGAGGAGGAGGAGGAGGAGGAGGAAGAGGAGGGGGGGGAGGGAAGAGGGGGAGGGGAGGAGACACAAGAAGGGAGTGGCGAAGGTGTGGGTATGACAGTGGGACGTGGAGGGAGAGCAGAAAAAGAGCGAGCTTCTGCTGACTATGATCGTGACGACATCCCTGCTTCCAGGCAGCAGCAACACGAGCAGCGGCAGCGGCAGCGCCCGTGGCGGAGGCAGAGAGGGAGCAAGCAGTGGCAGGGGCAGGAGGAGGGTGCAGGTACCAGTGGCGATGTGGCGGGTGGGGGAGAGGTTCGGGACTGGGAGGCGGGGAGCGATAGAAAGGTGGCCACACAGCTGCAGCAGCGGCGGCAGCAGCAGGAAGAGAAAGAGGAGGGAGCGGAGTGGGCGGTGGGTGCAGAGGGGTGCGTGGACGGGGAGAGGGTGTGTGGGTCGCTGGTGTGTGACGACGGCAGCAGCTGCAGAAGCGGCGGCGAGGTGCAGGGCGGGTGGCATGCAGCGGGGATGGAGCCCACCACTGACTCACCTCACATGGGTGCGTCTGTGCCTGCTGCTCGTGATGGGGAGAACGCGTCCCTGCTGCACCACAAGAAGCAGCAGCAGCAGCAGGGAGAGGGGCTGAAGCGGGGAGGGCAGGGAAGGGAGGAGTGGACTGGGGTGGATGAGTGCGGAGAGGAGCAGAGCCCGGAGGAGAGGGCAAGCAGGTGTGACACGGGTGGCAGCACGGGCACCTGTGTGGTGTGGTCTGTGGGCAGCCGGAACCAGCACGGCTTCCCTCTGTGGGAGGAGCCCTCTCCTCGGCCCTCGGAGTGTGTTAGGGAGGGGGTTGAAGATGCAGAGGAGGTGGAGGATGGGTATGGAGAAAGGATGAATGACTTGAAGGCCCATGTGGGAAGAAATGGCCAGTTTGTGGGGAATGGGGGGGAGGGAGAGGAGAGTGAGTTTGAGGGGGAAGGGGATGAGAACGATGATGGGGATATGGGAGGGTGCATGGAGGAGAGCATGATGCTGAGTAAGCAACCCCTTGTGCGCCGTCCTCGGCCTCCTTACCAATAGGGGGGTAGGGAGCAATGCAGAAGAATCAAATGTATATGTTGGTAATGGTGAGGGTCTAGTTTAGCTCCCAGTGTATGTTCATTAGGATTGACAGTTTCAGAGTGGAAGTACCAATTTGTGTAAGTCCTGAAAATGGCATGCGGTGTACTTTAGAAACTTAGATCGCTCCCACTGGGCGCTATAACAGGGCACACCCCCTCCACGTTTTCTCTCAGCACTTCCCAGTTTTCGTGAATTTCCACCTTGTTCCACACCTCCGTGCACATCTCTCCTTGTTCCCAATCTCACCTCCTCGCCCTCACCGCACGTGTGCTCTTCCCGTTTTCTCCGCGCTTGACGCACTTTTTCCGCTCCCCGCATCGCGCTCATCCGCCGCTGTGATCGCGCCATGCTGGACGATGACGTGTTCGATGACGTGGATGGAGGCGGCGCGGACTTCAGGGAGTGGGACCGCGAGGCGCAGGTTCGCCGCGACAACTTCGTCAAGGTACCCGCGCGCGCACGCTCTTACTCTCGCAAGATCGCACGATCGCACGCTTCACGCTGGAAAGTCCCACTCGCTGCGGAAGTGTGTGGGGTCCGCGCGCAAACCCTTCTGCGCATTTGCATCTCGCCCCTGCGCTCATCGTACCCTTCCTTCTCCTCTCGTTTCCCCGTCCCTCATGGCGCCTCCCCCCACCACCCCCCCGCCCCCGCGGCGCGGCACGCAGCTGGGGTACCGCGACGGCATAATGGCGGGCAAGGAGGCGGCGGCGCAGGAGGGGTTCAACGCGGGGTTCCGCGAGAGCTGCGCGCACGGCTTCCGCTGGGGGCACGCCAGAGGACTCGCCAGGTGCGGAGCATCTCCGTGCCATGCCGTTTGTCATGCCGTGTGTCATGACCTGTCATGTCATGCCGTGCCGTGCTGTCGTCTGTGTTCTTACCGTCTGCTTCCTGCTAACGGGTGTCTCTCTGCGCTGCCCTCCGTCCCCCTGGCGTCACTTTCCCTTTTCGCTCTCCGATCCGCTGTCTCCCTGGCCCGTCGTCTACCCCCTACCCCCGTACCTTACACCCCCCACACCTCTCCCCGTGCGTGCTCTTTCTACAACTCGCACGCGTTAGGGTTACCGCAACACGCCTCATGCTATGTCCCTCCCCGACCTCCGCCTCCGCTCCTCTCCCACCACGCTCTCTCCACTCATCCCATCCTTCCCCGTTATCCCACCCCATTACCCCTTCCCCCCTTCGTCGTTTTTTCTCCCCTTCGTCCCGTCCCACGCAGTGTGCTCTCCTCACTGCCCCCAGACGTGGCATCCCACGTGCGCGTGCCCTCCGCGCCCCGCCACTGCATGGCGCAGCTTGCCCGCGCCATGGCGCTGCAGGGCGGGGAGGTGGGGGGGGTAGAGGGGCAGAGGGCGGAGGGGAGTGGGGAAGGGGGAAGGGGGGGCAGTGAGGGCGGGGTGGGCAGTGCAGAGGCGGGGGCGCGAGCAGAGGAAGCAAGCACTCGTGTGGTTACAGCTGCCCTGGCTGCTGTTACCGTGGGGACTGGGGAGAAGGAGGCTGAGGGGAGCGGGCCAAGGGTGGGAGAGGGTGGCAGCACGGAGCAAGGGGTTGGTGCGAGTGGGGCGTCAGGCGCACCAGGTGCAGCACAGGGCTGGGCCTGTGGAGGCGGAAAGGGAATTGCTGCTGTGAACTGCTGCGGTGGCGGTGGGTGTGGAACTGGCACTGGCAGTGGCAGTGGCAGTGCTACTGGCAGTGGCAGTACTACTGGCAGTGGCAGTGCTACTGGCAGTGGCAGTGGGTGTGGTTGTGGCAAAGGGGCGTGTGAAGCAGGGGCGCATTCCTCGTGTGCCTGCCAGCATGCGTCTAGAGGCGACTGTGGTGGAGCCGGTGTTGCTGACAGTGCAGCAGACAGTGCTGCATTGGTTGAACATTTCTCACATGGGCTGGTGGCGGATGGGGCAGAAAGGACTAGTGTAGCAGGGGAGGAAGGCGAGGGTGTGTTGCATGGGGACAGTTTGGCTGCTGCAAGTGCAGGAGGGCAGGGTGAAGAAGGACGGATAATGGATGGAGAAGCGGGGGTCAGGGTTGATGCAGTCACGACTGATTCAGTCACAAGCGATGCAGCCACTCCTGGTGGGACCATGCAAGGGGAGCGTCACCTTGCAACAGCAATGCAGCTGGTGAGCAGCCTGCATGCATCCATGCATGCACCCGCACACCCTGTTTCTCCTGCTGCAGGTGATGCCGTGCCGGCGGCAAGCAGCAGAGGTGAGACGGGGGGTGCTACTGCAGCTGTGAGTGGTGATGCATCCATGCCAGCTGGCAGTGTGGCACAGGCTGGCAGGGAGAGCGGAACAGCCGGACCTGCGGAGCCAAGCCCTCTGTGGAGGATGGTGGGGGAAGGGGCTGTAGTGGTGGGAGGGACCAAGGTGGGTGGGGGTGTGGCAGAGGGTGCATTGGCTGGGGCATCGGCGGCCTCAGTAGTGCAAGGCGTGCACGCCTCTTTGGTGGCAGGAGTGGCAGCACTGCTGGGGGATGATGCAGGGAGAGTGCCGGAAAGATGGACAGACATTTTAGACGGTTGACTACCGTATAGGGTTGACCTTATTGTAAGGTGTTCCTTATCCTGCTGATGAAGACTGCCTGCCTGCATTATCAACTGGTTCAATGTGAAATATCATTGTATTTACTACATCTGAGACTTCAGACGTTAAAGAAGCGCTCCAGTTAATTTTATGGACTGCATCTGCCCATGAAATATTTCTGATGAAGCATGGACCTTGGTGGCTGTTTTGATTTGATGTGTGGGTTGTAAGAACTGCATATACGGTTAGGAAGTCGTTCCAGACACTGTATAAAGAATCCGCACTCAATGTAATATCTCAGATATTGCCACGTGACACGTACGGTATCCGACCTCGGCCAGCGACAAAAGCATCGTCCAGTGAGAGCCAAGAAGCCAACTCGCGATGTCCGCGCTGGAAGCCTCCACAGCATGGGCGATGCTCCTTGAGAGTAGCTCCGCCAATGCGACGACGGCGACCTCGCCAGCTCAGCCGGGCGAATCTAGAGTCCCACTTTCTCGCGCCTCGGACGAATAGGCTGCCTTGGGCCTTGGATGTGCTACTGTACACCGAGGCACCCGTGGCAGAACACAAGAGGTGAGGGTCACGTCTTGAGAATTTCGTCAGGTGAATCTGGCACACAGGGGAGGAAGACCAGCATAACTCAGCGTAGTGTCAAACATCGGCATTTGCCTGGGACGCAAGTGTTTTGACGACGTCCGTAGTTGCGAGATATCTATTTTTCGGCTACGAAATACCGTATCCCGGGCTCGCCGAGTCTCGAGGCTTCCGCTGATCCGCTTCCAGTTACTCATTCGCCGCAATGGAGCTCGCTGCCGTCGCCTCCGCGTGCGTCCCGTGCCCCAGGCTCGCCGCGCCCACCCATACGGCTGCCGCTGCCGGCCATAGATGTCACCCAAACATCGGCTCCTCGTCGATCACAGCCGTCGGCGTCGCGCCCATCCGCAGCAGAAGCAGATCGCAACGGAACGCGCGCAGGAGCGCCGGTGCAGCGCGAGCCGCCATGGCGCCGACAGAGTACGCGGAGGGGGAGCGCGACGCGCCGGAGTGGGCGGGCGAGACGAAGTTCTCGGGGATGGTGAACGCGGTGATCGGGTTCAAGCCGCTCTACGACCTCATGAAGATCGGCGCGCGCCAGATGCTCATGAGGTGCGCCCTACTGCTACTGCTGCTGCTGGTGATGGTGATGATGATTGTGATGGCTGTGATGGCGGTAATGGTGGTCGTGGTGGTAATAGTGATATGCATGTGAACGGATGGTTTGCGCCAGGACCTTGCTTTTAGCGTTCCGTATTTCCGACCGCAAGCGGTTCTGGGCCTAGGTGTTGCCGCAACGCTAGTGATGCTGTAGCTGTAGCTGACCGAGAATGGCGCCACAGATTTGGCACGGAAAGAAACATATTTTTGCTCGTGAATAGCCCCACTCGTATCTCGGCCAAGTCTGGACCTGTCAGAACCTTCTACGTCCTTCATCACGAGCTACGTCGCTTCTTTCTTCTCGTTAGTGTTAGTGCCGTCATGCTGCTACGGTGATTGATACGCTTCCGATGGTGGAAGCGTGCGCTCGTTCTCTCCACCCACGCTGTCAGACTCACCCTGAAAGCTCTGCCCTTGTGCGCTTGTGCTGCGTCGTGGCGACGGCCCCGAGAGATGCCCATTCGTCGCGCCCCTCACGCGTGCGTCACACGCCGCGTTCCGCTAACTAGTCTCACTACATGATTTTCCCATTTACTACCTCGCTTGCGTCTATCCGCCGCAACTATCCTTGAATGCTTATTTTCCCCCTCCTTCCCCCCACCCTCCCCTTGCCCCCTCTTTCCACACCCCATTACGTCACAAATGCGCTCATCCGCTGCTTTGCGCGTCGCGCGCAGCACGGCGGAGAAGAGCGGCGTGCCGTGGCGCAAGATAGTGGAGGAGCTGCAGCAGTCGCCGGAGCTGGTGGCGGAGAAGGAGGCGCTGGAGAATAAAGACATCGTGTACCCCGAATGTGAGCGCCGCGTACCGCATACGCACCGCGCGATTCTCAGTAGCGAGCCGCGAGAGTAATTCCTGTGTGGAATGATTGGAGGTTGAACAGCTAGTCGATTTTATGAACAGCGCTTCCTTTTCCCCCGCCCTTCCCCCCCACCCCTCACACTCCTCGGTCCCCCCTCCTGTGGTCACGTTTCCTCTTCCCCCCCCCCTTCCCCCCTTCTCCTCTCCCCGTGGGCGCGGTGCAGACTACGTGAAGCCCTTCCACGCGTACGACCAAGGCAATCTCTGCTGGCAGGTGAGAGCGCGCGGGCGGAGAAGGGGATGTGCGAAGGGGGGAGGTCGGGGGAGAGAAGGGGTATTGTGAACAAGTGGGTAGTAAACGTGAATTCTGGGCAGGGAGCTGGCGTCACGGACAGGGCAATGGGCACGTGCTTTTCTTTCCGTCGCTCTCATCCCGTCTTCTCCCCTCGGCCCCCACCACCGGCCCCCCACCCCCCGTCATTTTGCGCGCGCGCCCCCCCAGGCGGCGTACGAGGTGGAGGCGGCGACGCTGTCCATGTGCCGGCGCGCCATCCCGTGGGCGGACTCCGCGGAGGAGGCTGCGCGCATCCTGCGCCTGGGGTGGCTGGACACCATTCAGGCGCACCACGCGGCGCACGCGGGGGGCGCGCCCGTGCAAGCGGTGCTGGACGTGGGGTGCAGCGTGGGCGTCAGCACGCGGTGGCTCGCCTCGTACTACCCCGAGGCTGACGTCACCGTGAGTAGAACGCATGGGTGCTACTGTAGGAGGTGACGGGGGTAAGGGAGGGAGTGATGGAGTGCATAGGGGGTACTCTCATCCCGTGGTGCCTTGGTTCTGTCTGTGTCTCGCCTGACCCCTGCGTCTCGCCTCTCCCCGTTCATGACCTATTCCCCACCATCAACCCTCGCACCGCTGCTCTCGCCCTTCCCCCCCGCCGCACACGCCAGGGCCTGGACGCATCTGCATACTTCCTCGCCGTGGCATCGCTGCGTGCGAAGCAGCAGCAGCAGGACGCGGCAGTGCAGCTGCAGGGGGGCAACCCCGCCAAGCCCATCCGCTGGGTGCACGCCCTCGGGGAGGACACTCGTATGCCCTCAGACTCCTTCGACCTCGTCTCCTTCGCCTTCGTTGTACGTCACAGCTCTCCACCGCACTCCACCAGACCCCACCGCACTCTACTATACTGCATGTTGCGGTACTTCTGTGCTGCGTTCACTGCATGCCTTCCCCCGGCGCCCGGGCCTCTGCTTCCTTCTTTTCCCCATCCAGTGTCTGCCCCGTCCCATCCACACCCACACTCACACCCTCGTCCTGCTCTTTCCAGCAAGCACTCCTTTCTCCCTCCCGCACCCTCTCTCACACTGTGCGTTCCCTGTGCACAGTTCCACGAGTGTCCACCAGATGCCATCAGGGCCCTGCTCACAGAGGCCAAGAGGCTGCTCAAACCAGGCGGCACTGTCGCCTTCACTGACAACTCGGTACGTGCCTGCTCTGCTCTGCTCGGTTACGCCCCGCCCCGCCCTGCCCCGCCCCCCCCCCCCCGCCCCGACCTGCCCTGCTCTGTCCTGCTGTGCTCTGCTCTGCTTTACCCTACCCTGCCTTGTCGTACCCTGCCCCGCCCTGCCCCACCCTGCCCTGCCCTGCCCTGCCTTCTTATTTTTATTCTCTCCAATATCCTCACCCTTTTCCCACCCTGTTCGCCTTGTCCTTCCCTGCACACCACCACTGTGTTCCCTGCATGCTGCTGCCGGGGCCACTCTTCCAACTGTGCCTGCCTCATGCTCTCTGCAGCCTAAGTCGAAAATCATTCAGGTAACGCTCAAACTTCCCTCTTACCTATTTCCAGCACCACTGCACTTCCACCATCCCCATCTCAGCCCATGACCCACTCGTCCTTCTGTAACATTCCGCACTTTTGAGTCTAACTCAAATCCACCTCACGTTCCGCACTCTCATCAACATCGGACTGCACTGTGCCTGATCGCCCCCAACCACACTACACCGCATCTCTCCCCCTTGTCCCACCGCGTGTGCAGAACCTGCCGACGCCAGTGGCAGCGCTGATGAAGTCAACAGAGCCGCATTCAGATGCCTACTACCTGTGCAACGTGGAGGGCATGATGAAGGACCTGGGCTTCACACATGTCACCACTGTGCTCTCGGACCCGCGCCACCGCACCGTCACGGCCACTGCTTGAACAATGATGCGGTTTTATGCAGATAATGGCTTTTTTTTCCTGTAATTTTGCAGCCATGTGCCTGTTGGAGTTTTATATTACCACATTTCTTGAGAGTGGTTTGGTTACTGGGAAGAAGCAAGCAGTGAAAGGGTGGGCCAGGTCATGTGAGGCACATGCACAAAGGCACATGCACACACAGTTGTACTACTGCCCTTTCATTGTGTCAGCTGGAAAGTACAGTAGTGCTCACTAGAAGCTGGCTTTTCATATACAATTGATGCCCAACCAGTGCACGCGAATTTGCCTTGCGCTGGATGGAAACGCTGCACCCGAGGTTGTTTCCCCAGCCTGTTGCTCCCACGTTACCGTAAAAGCGCGTCGCGTGGTTATCAACCAATAGTAACGAACAGACCGAGGTCAAGCAGAAGAGACTGAAGTCAGATAAGGTAACAGATCTTGTTTATAAGCACCTGCGAATCCTTTTTAGCTAGCTGCGAATCGACGAAACTTATACGAAATCCTCGTTACAGCTTATACGCCCCCTTCACAAGGCAACCGGGAGGGGCTCAAACAGGCATCAATTGTAGCCTAATACTTACGGTACGAAGTATCAGATACCGTACTACACAACCAGCTGATACTGGTAAACCTACAGAAATGGATCAGTTTTGCCCTAGAGCAAATCTATGACCCAGTGCTACAGGTACATGTTATTCATCACAGCTCTGGCCAGCAACCCACACTGCCTTGGTGGCCCTCCCTCATTGCCAGCCTCCAAGCAGTGCCGTGCCACCTCACGGTGTGCCAGTGCTGCACCACCACCTCCCCACCACTCCCCACCGCCACTCGCCAGCAGAACCACAGCAGCAGCGCAGCAGGGCTATGAGCCAGCCCCAGGACCTGAACCCTCACCGACGTACCATAGCAAGAGGGGAGCCCCACCAGACCCCCGGCCGCAGGGCCTGGTGTTGGTCCATTATGCCTTAACGTGCGGCTATTGGCATCCAGGCTTGGCACTCACACCCCCACTGCCGCCCCACCTCCCCCACCACCACCACCACCGCCACCAACACCAGAACCAGGTGGCATCAGCCAGAACCACCACCACCCCCAGGGGTGACCTGTGAAGGGGGAGGGGAGTGGAAATAAGTGAGTTAATAGGTCAAAGAACTGGATGAGCAGCAAGGGAAGGCAGGCAGCATGAGCAGCAAAAGCAGAAAGTGAGAAAGCAAGCGAAAGGCGAGAAGCGAATGCAAAGCCACTCAAGGGTGAGGTGAGCGGCTTGCTGTCTTACCTCGCACACAGCAGCTAGCCCCTCAGTCCGCCAGTGGCAGTTATAATCCGCGCAGCAGCAGCAGCAGCAGCAGCAGCAGCAGCAGCAGCAGCAGCAGCAGCAGCAGCAGCAGCAGCAGCAGCAGCAGCAGCAGCAGCAGCAGCAGCAGCAGCAGCAGCAGCAGCAGCAGCAGCAGCAGCAGCAGCAGCAGCAGCAGCAGCAGCAGCAGCAGCAGCAGCAGCAGCAGCAGCAGCAGCAGCAGCAGCAGCAGCAGCAGCAGCAGCAGCAGCAGCAGCAGCAGCAGCAGCAGCAGCAGCAGCAGCAGCAGCAGCAGCAGCAGCAGCAGCAGCAGCAGCAGCAGCAGCAGCAGCAGCAGCAGCAGCAGCAGCAGCAGCAGCAGCAGCAGCAGCAGCAGCAGCAGCAGCAGCAGCAGCGTGGAATGGAGAGCAGACAAGACAGCCGAGGTATCTGTTGGGGGAGGGAGGATGGGGTGAAACAAGTGCAAGTGAGTGGAAGCAGAGAGTGCACGTACCTACAGGGGGGGACGTGCCAAAGCAAGCACACATGAATGAGGGTGCAGGAATGAGCTCAGGTCACCTGATGCGCACACCCATGGGGATACCTTGCTGTGGGGGGTATACCTCACCTGCTGAGCATATGATTTTCTCTACACGGCAGTCAGTGAGCTCCAGTCAGTGAGCCGCCTCTGCTTCTCCTGCTGCTGCTGCCGCTGCCCCTGATGCCGGCAGTCGTGCTGTCAGTGGCAGTAGCAGCGCTCCCGTCGTCCATTCCCTGCTTCTGCCTGCACTCACATAGGCGTGCCGGGTGGAAGGACGGATGGGAGAGAGAGGATGGGGAGGAAGGGCAGGAAGGGGAGGAAGGGGAGGAAGGGGAAAAAGGGGAGAAAGGTGAGGAAGGGGAGAAGGGGAAAAAGGGGAGGAAGGGGGAAAGGAGGTGGAGGGGGTAGTTAGAAAGTGGACGAGAGAGACATGGGAGAGTGAGAGACAGAGGGTTGGGGACGGAAATTCAATCAGGAATAGAACTCAGCAGTGGGTTAGGAGAGAGTGCGAGAGGGGAGTGGGAGGAAGTAGCGATCGCGGTGCGATGTGTCTTGATGGCGATCCCAGAAACTAGTTTTGGCGAAACGGTCAGAGTGCACGGATCAACCGTGCCATTCATGCCTTGAATATTCCGCGGAGTAAGCTTATTAGTTCAGCAGAAAGGCGTACAGTGTAGGAGGAACCGTTAAGCGCGGGTTTTCAGTGAACTAGCGTGAGCACATGAATATTCCGGGAACCTGATGGGGAACCTGAAGCGGAACCTGATGGGGAACCTGATGGGGAACCTGATGGGGAACCTGATGGGGAACCTGATGGGGAACCTGATGGGGAACCTGATGGGGAACCTGATGGGGAACGTTGCGCACGCCGTAGCGGAACCAGAGCGCCCACACGAGCTCACAGTGCAACGGCGCTCTTCCAAACCCTTTAATTTGCCACTCCCCCATCCCATCCCCCTTACGAGAACGCACATCAATGCCAGAAATGTTGCGCACGCCGTAGCGGAACCAGAGCGCCCACACGAGCTCGCGAATGACTGTGTTGAGCCCGGGGCACAGCCCGCCGCACGTCACTATGGCTGCTCGCACGTCCTGTCCTGCGGCTGGAATGCCACCTGGAAGGGGGGTGCAATGGGAAGGGGGGGAAGGGGAAGGAGAGGTTGGGCGGCAGGGAAGCAGGTGATGGAGGTGAACGAGGGGAGTGGGAGCTGTGATGCACATGGCGGAACAGTGCGAACAAGAGACACATTTGATACAGCTGCTGCTGCTGGCGCTGGTGGCTCTGGTGGTGGTGGCGGTGGTGGCGGTGGTGGCGCTGGCGGTGGTGGTGGTGGTGGTGGTGGTGGTGGTGGTGGTGGTGGTGGTGGTGGTGGTGGTGGTGGTGGTGGTGGTGGTGGTGGTGGTGGTGGTGGTGGTGGTGGTGGTGGTGGTGGTGGTGGTGGTGGTGGTGGTGGTGGTGGTGGTGGTGGTGGTGGTGGTGGTGGTGATGGTGGTGGTGGTGGTGGTGGTGGTGGCGGTGGCGGTGGTGGCAGAAAAGGTGGTGGCGTGTAGGCAGTGAGGCACTGACTCATGAGTACAAGGCACAGGTCCCTCACAGCCAGCTTCATCAGATCGCCCTGCTGCTCTGCTGCCCCGCCTGCTGCCCCGCCTGCTGCCCCGCCTGCTGCCCCGCCTGCTGCCCCGCCTGCTGCCCCGCCTGCTGCCCCGCCTGCTGCCCCGCCTGCTGCCCCGCCTGCTGCCGCGCCTGCTGCCCCGCCTGCTGCCCTGCCTGATGCCTTCTTTGATGTTTCGCCTGCTGCTGCTGCTGCTGCTGCTGCTGCTGCTGCTGCTGCTGCTGCTGCTGCTGCTGCTGCTGCTGCACGTTAGTGTAAGTGAGGGAGGCGATGCAAGAGCAGAGGCATTCGAAGACGCATGGATCCATAACAATTACCACATCGGCATGACATTATTGAACCCATTGGATGAACGAAAAGCGTCCTAGCCATATGATCTCTAGACGGAATTTTAGGGCTACTGAAATCAGACCTTGTATTAAGGCTATTCAATCAAGAAAGGCAGCACGCTATCACAAAGCTGTGGCACATGATACTCTACATGCGTTGAGGACAAAAAACACACCTTTGCTGCGAGCGATGAGCAGAGAGGCAGCAGCGTCAGCAGCAGCAGCCCGTGCTGCCCTGGCTTCGTTGGATGGTGGCAGGGCGCTGCAGCTGATGGGGACGGAATGGAGAAGTGGGCGTGGGAAGTAGGAGGGTAGACTAGGGGAGTTCTGAGAAGTCTCATAACCCGTGCTGCCCTGCATCCTTGAAGGTTGGCAGGGCGCTGCAACTGATTGGGGGGGAGAGGAGGGAGTTGCAGAGGGAAAAGGGAGAAGTTGTTAGGAAGGGAGGGGAGGAGAGAGAGAGATGGAGGGTTGGGGACGGAAGGTGAATGAGGAATGACATATAACAGTGGGTTAGGGGTCAGATGAGAGATGAGAGAAAGGGTGAAGGGGGATGGATGGGGGATGGCCAGGCTGGGTTGGTGGAACCGAGTGAGGGTGAGAGTGAAGGGGAGTGGGAAGGAGAGTGTGGGGAGGAGAGTGTGGGAAGGAGAGTGTGGGGAGGAGAGTGTGGGGAGGAGAGTGTGGGAAGAAGAAGAAGAAATGTTGGGGCATGCATGCACAAGGAGGGTGGGTGTCAGCAGCACACATGAGAATGAAACATGGGGAGGAGTATGCGTGTGCAATGGATGGATGTGCATCACATGCCATGCTATATCCGATCCCATCCCTTACTCTCCCATCCTATCCCCTGCCCTCCCTCCACCGCTCTCCCCTCCTTTCCCCTCCCTCCCCCCCTCTCCCCTCCTATCCCCACCCTCCTACCCCCCATGCCCCTCTCCCCCACTATTCAGACATACGATGAGAGCACGTGCAGGCAGTGCTGCAGGCATTGCTGCAGGAGGTGCTGCAGGCGCTGCGTTGCCAGCTGCGGCAGGGGCAGTGCGTGGCTGCACCCACACGCGCTCATCTCCAGCAGCCATGCTGCCAGGGGGAGGCGGAGAGAGGCGGAGGGGGGTGCGAGGTGAGAAGAAGGGGGGCGACAAGAGGGTCGGGGGGGGGAAAGAGTGAGGGATGAGAAGGACGGGGTGAGAAGGGGAGGGGCGGGTGAGAAGGAGGGGATGAGAAGGAGGGGGTGAGGAAGGCGGGGAGCGAGTAAGAAGAAGCAAGAAAGAGGTCATCTCCTGCACTCCTGGATCACACTTTCACCATTCCCCACTCCCGCACCCTCCCACTCCCGCATCCCCCATTCTCGCTATCATCGTTGATAGGGAGAAGCTGTGGGAAGGGGAGGGGAAGGGAGGGTGAGCAGAGGGACGGGAAGGGAGGAGAGAGGAGGGAGATAGGAGAGGAAGGGACGGACGGAGGGAGAGTTTAGGGCGTTTGAACCGTGAAGCTTGGTTACATACCCTAAAGCGCATGAACACGTGAAGCAAGGCGAAAAACGCGTACTGAGAACGGAGCAAGGCTAATAATGCGTACGACGAGGTCGATCGCCATGCCCGCCATTCGCGCCCACTCCGGCTCGCTCTCATGCGACAGCAGCGACGCTCCCGCCTCGTCGCACGCCTCGTCGCCCATCGCGAGCGTCGTCGGAAGGAGCAGACGAGGGGGAGGCGCGCGGAAAGAATCGGCGCGGAGTAAACGGCGCTGAGTAAACTGCGCGGAACTGCGAGGGGTAGGCGCGCGGAAAGAATCGGCGCGGAAGAATCGGCACGGACGGAACGGCGCGAAGGTAACAGCGGAGAGGAACAGGGGACTGCGTCTCCTGCTGTCGGCCGCTGTGTGCCGCTAAGCGTTTGCAACGCGCAGCCGAGAACTAGAAAACTAAGGCCGCTGGAACTACAACCCTTTGAAAAAAGGCGTTCGGACGAAGACCGTTGGACGTAAAGAGCAGTTAAGGAGATAACGATACGGAACGGACGCTTACGCTAGATGCTCCATTCCTCTGCCAGTCGTTGAGCACTACAGCGCGAAAACTGCGTGAAATGCAGCAAGTTCAGTCGGAGCCTTGAACACAGAAAGAAATGGCAGCGTTACGCATGACGACGCTCGCGATCCCCCCCTCTCCATCTCCATCTCCTCTACCCTGACGGTTCCCCCCCGCTGCGCGGAACTCGCGACGACGACAGACGATAGACGAGCCCTCCGACTGTACCGATCAAGCTCCCCCGGGCGAATCCTCTCGTCTGGAACGCGCAGATGCTGCAACACCCGAACTCGCCATGGCATCCCTGCGCTCTGCCTTCTCCGTTGCGATGGGAGAGCAGCATCGACAGTCCCGACGCTTGGGCTTCGAATTTATCGACGCGACGCGAGCGTTCCCGATGTACCCTTCGCTACAATGTTCTGGAGGTATTCCAGCAATGCCACTTTATGTGATGATTGAGAATCTGGATTGCAAGTCTGCATTTGTAACGATACAGGCCAGAGAACAGAGGACTATTTGCGTTGGAATACTTGAACAGACACTTCTCACATTAAAATCCTACGTCCTATCCAGACCAGGGTACAAGTTTCGCTACACGAAAGAACATTATTATAAAATTGTTATCATAATAAGAAATCAATGTAATTCTGTCTAATCCTATCAACCACAAGTCCACAGCTACTCCATGGCAGCATACCATTCATGCCCACCCCGGCATGGACTAGCAGCGCACTGCACAGGCAGAGAGGAAGGCTGAGCCTCGAGCATTGCCAGGACCAAGACGTGCGCGGGTGCCCTACTAGGGACTGGCTCTGCTCACCCCCACCTCCACCAAATGACATCACTGCTGGCCAGACAGCTTTGTCACTTGGTGGGGGCAGGAGGGGGCAGAACCAGTCCGGTTTGGCCCGGAATCGAGTCCCCAGCCAATGCTCAAAGCTTCACCCCCTCTTGTGCACTGGCCACATGGCTTGCAGGCTTGCCGACCATGAAGGCACCTGCAGGCAGAAGAAATATAAAAATTAGACCATGTTCAAAAAGAGAAAGAAAATATACAGCTTGCACCAACGCAAATCAACAAACAAAAATAAGCCATGTGCATGAAAAAGAGAGCTCGAAGGTAGGGGCTGAAACTTATCTGTGGTTTAGGAGCTTGAAGTGTGGAGCGGTGCTTGAGCGTTGAGACGCTTAAGCAGGCCATGGCTTGCCACCCACTGGGACTTGCCGCCCATAAAGGCTCCTGCAGGCAGAATAAAGAGAAACATTGGTCCATGAAAAAAAAGAGAAGGCAAAAAAACAGCATGCATTAAAGCATATCAATAAACATAATAAAGCCATTTGCAAGAGAAAAGGAGCTCGAAGGTAGGGAATGAAACTTATCTGAGGTTGAAGAGCGTGGAGTGTGGAGCAGTGCTTGAGTGTTGAGGCGCTTCAGCATGCCATGATGCTCCCATGGATCTTGGGCGTGCTGGAGTGTGCAGCGGTGCGCAAGGTCTTGGCAGTCCATGGCGTGTTAATGGCGCTTGGAGAACCTGCCGTGAGGCAATATGAAACAAGTCAGTGACTGTAGAGTTGAAGCACAACTTGACAAAAATAGGAATCAGCAAGCGTGGAGTTACCAGTGGAATAGCATTCGGGCGAGAAAGCACGGGAAAAGGCTCAAGATTGGAACTTATCTTGCAAAGCTTGAGCGTTGAGGCACCTCAGCAGGCCATGGTGATCCCATGGATCCTGATTCTTGGGCTTGTTAAAATCCCTTAGTGCAGCAAACCTGCCAAGTGAAGAAGCAAATTTGAGTTAGTAAACCAAGTCAATGAAGGCAAACGAACGAACATGCAACAAGTGGCTAAAACGAGGAGGGATGAAAACTTACTGCTGGTGGACAGATAGGAGGCACCTGCCAGGTGCTGTTGGCAGGTACGTTCACCCCGCCTTGGAGCTTAGCCGTGAGGTGCTCCTCTGACAACATCTGGAGCGTGGCTTGAATAAAACCTGCAAGGATATCAAAGGAACTAGGTTAGGAAATGAGCAGTAAACCAAGCATGCAAAAACCGTCGGTGCTGCAAAGGTGCAAGTGCCACAGAGCCTACCTATACCAACGAAAATACCTTAGGGGGACCTTTACCAACACCTTTACCAACCTCCACCTTAACCAAACTTGAACCTGAACCAAGGGGGGGGGCTCTGTGGCGTGAAGAATGTGTGGTTGATACGTTCAACCTTCACCAGCCGTGCAGATGCTCCACTGTTGTCCGCCATGAAGCATGGCAGGACGCCAAACGATGTTGCTCCCCGAAAAACGCAGTACATCCTCGGAATAAACCTGCAAGTAAAGAAATAAACGAGAATCAGTAAAGGTCGGACAGAAGAACATGCACTACGGAAAAAAAAAATGGAAAAACGAGCCAAGTACCAACCAAAAAACCTTTAGGGGGACCTTTACCAGACCTGAACCTGTACCTAACCTCAACCAGGGGGGTGGCTCGGGAGTGTGAAGGGTGAGATTGATACTCTTAACCTTCACCTTCACCAACCGTGGAGCTTCTCCTCCGTTGTTCGCCATAAGCAAGGAATGACGCCAAAGGATGTTGATCCTCTTGAATCTTCGAAACGCCTCGCAACCTCCATTACATCCTGCGAGTGTAGAAAAAACATGTAGTTAGTATACGGAAGTGAAGAAAGCATGCAACGGAAATAACGACTTTGCCAAGTGAAGAAACATGTGCTGACCCACCACAGAGCCAATACCAACCTGTACCGAAAAAAAAAACATCTACCACACCTGTACCGAACCTTTACCAAACCTTTACCACGGGGAGGAGGCTCTGTGGTGAGTGGTGGTGAAAGGGTGATACATTTGACCTTCACCGTCACAAATCGGAGAGATCGATGTCGCTCCAGCCACGTAGTAGTTGGCGTCGCGACGAGGTCGAGGAAGAGATGCAGATCCACGCACGACTCAATGATGTCCTGCGAATGGTGAACATCAACGTCAGAATCGGCGTGGAAACAAACTGAAGGTCGCGTACATCGAAGAAATCACGTCGCTGATACAAAAGCGTAATACGAATAGGAATGGTGGATGTACCTGAGAGGCAAGCTGACTCGCTACGTTGCAGAAAGTCGGGGATATAGATGTCGCTTCAGCCTCGTCGTAGCTGGCGTCGCGACGAGGTCGAGGAATTAACGCAGATCGGCGTAGCTTCGCTACATCGCAAAAACTCCCACGGTCGAGGTAACGAAGCTCCACGATTTGACCATACGATCACGGCAATGCTGAACGGCGTCGACGTGAGAGGATGGTGAAGGGTCGAAACTGGTAGCGCGATCGAAAGCCAAGCTCGATTAGAAGTGCCAGGAAGGCTACGGAAACTAATTGAAAATCACGAGAAGACGAGCCGGAATACGAAGAGAGACTGAAGATGCGTGGAATGTCTAATTTCGGACCGTTGGGATGCGGTTTGGAATCAGTGAGCGGCTGGAATTCTCGCTTTGCAGGCTTCCAAGGTGGTCCCAAACATGCCACCGTGGACTACGTGGACGATTGTGGATCATACGGAATCGCCGACAACATGAAGATCAGCTCTGACTGGACCGCCAAATGAGCCCCAACGTTTGATTGGACCGCCAAATGAGCCCCAACGATTGATTGGACCGCCAACGAAAACACTATCCAACCAGTATGTCCTCAATTTGGGACACGTATGCTGTTTCAACATCCAGAAAAAAACGCGGGTATACACACGAACTTCGAGATCTTGTGACGTGATCTCAAAAACTTCCGCTCATTCAACCGCCGCGATCCGTATTCCGAAGCGTGCTGCTAAATTGAGCCGCTCTAGTGCTTAGGAGGCGGCTGGCAGAAGAGTTGGGAGGGAAGTCGAGATCTGTCTGGTTGGGTCTGACAGCAGCGGCGGTAGAGAGGAGCGATGGAGCAGCTGTAAACCCATCATCTGCCAGAAGCAGAAGCTCCAGTCATGGCTTGGCGAACTGGCGAGCTTAACAGGTAACTTCTGCTGTCGGCTGTTGCGAAGTGGTTGGAACCTGTGATTCGCCAACCCTTGATGTTTCAGAGGTCGCGTAGAGTGGCGACGTGTGTTGCGAAAGGTGTGCCGACGGTGAAGTAACTCGTCATTCTATGAGTGTGCAGATTTGGTGGATGGGGAACACGGGAGGATGTTGGATGTTTGAAGGAAGGTGCCATCGGGTTCAACACGGTTCGGAATACTTTAGCAAATTTTCAGTGCGGTGGGAAGTCAGTCTCACATTCATATCCCACGCCCCTTGTCACCCACGTTTGCCCGTCTTGTCACTCGATACAGTTCAGTACCCAAAACGCGGAATTTTCAGCTGCTCACTAGCACCGTATAGCACCAGACAATACCGTTGTTGCGAAAACAAGAAACAGCGTTCCCCCAATCCCGGGGCACCTTTCCGATTTCCCGCGAAAATCCCCAGCTTCAGCATCCCTGCGGGAGTTCCGCCTAGTGTTTCGCTGTGCGGGCTGCGCAGGGATAACAGGTGGCGTAAGGACAGTGGACAGCAGGACTTCCACATTAGTCGCTGCGGTAAGTTGCGAGTTTGTTTATAGAGGTGGACCTTCTAATTAATCAAGAGTTGTATGAACCATTGAAGATGTATACTGGTTTGTCACAAACCGTGTTGGAATGACTATCCAGAAACAAGGTACTGAGAAAACTCTCTGTAGCTTTGCAGGAATGTTGATTATCTCTAGATTGTCACTTCACGCACTACCATTTATAATCTGGATTTCTGACACTAAAATTTCACTCGCAGCAAAAAATATACTCGTGTTGCAAGGCCCCTTATGCAGAAGCACTGATGTGAAGTCGGGTGATTCTCAAACCCAGAGAAAAATCGAGACGCTGCTGCAGTTTCAATGGCTTCAGGATTCAGGCAAGGCAAGGTCGATATCCTCATACCACACCTTGGGAACACATGCACACTCAGAAGCTCGTCCTCTCCCGTTCCAACAGGACAAACTCAATACCTCGTGACCTACCTGCTTCGACTGCCCCCGGAATGCACTTCCTTTGTTAGAACTGTCGGATATTCGAGACAGGTCTCACCCAGGCTGCTTCGAGACTGTCCCGCTCTCACACGCGTTTCTCTAAGAGCCCCTCTGCCTTGTGCGTTTCCCCGTCCACAATGAGCCTCCGTGTTCACTCTTCCTGCATCCTAGTGTAGACGTGAAGTACGAGGAGGAAGAGACAAGAGTCGCCGATCAGAGTCAAGGGAGAGAAGCAGGTCGGTAGAGGAAGAGAAGGGAGGAGCGGCGCGAGGAATGGTAAGGCACGGCATGGGATGCGGAGGGGCAGCACGCACTCACATGGACATGGGGGATGGGGAGGGGGGGCAGCAGATGGTGCACCAACCCAACATCTCTCGTGAGGCCGTGAGCGGCAGGTTGGAAGAGGAAGAGCAGGGAGGAGCGCGGCATGGCGCAGAGGCAGGCTTGAGAGAGCAGGTGGAAGAGCAGGCCGGTGGAGAGAGGCAGGGCGGCGGGGTCGGGGAGGACACGAGCGAGGTGCTGCAGGGCGTGCCTGTGGTGGAGGGCGGGAAGAGGGGCGAGAGACAGATAGAGGAAGAAAGTGGGGGAAGGATGTGTGTTGGCGTGGAAAAGCAGGTTGGTGGAGAGCAGTAGGGTGGCGGGGTCCGGGAGGAGATGCGAGAGATGCTGCAGGGCCTGCCTGTGGTGAGAAGGAAGGGAGGGGGGGGAGAGGGGAGGAAGGGGAGGAAGGGGAGAAAGGGAAGAAAGGGGAGGAAGGGGAGGAAGGGAGAAAGAGGGGGGAGAGGAGGGAGGGTGGTTAACGGTGGGGGGGATAGTTAGGAAGGGCACGAGAGAGACATGGGAGAGTGAGAGACAGAGGGTTGGGGACGGAAGGCCAATGCGGAATAGCACACAGCGGTGGGTTAGGAGAGAGTGCGAGAGGGGGGTGGGAGGAAGATGGATGGGAGATTAGGAGGAGTTGTCAGCAGTCCACACAAGAAAGGAAAAGAAGAGGCAGACGTATGTGAAACGGACGGATGCCAAGGCACAGAATGGACATCCCCCTTTCCATATCTCACCCCATCCCATCCCATCCCACCCCATCCCATCCCATCACATCCCATCCCATCCCATCCCATCCCATCCCATCCCATCCCATCCCATCCCATCCCATCCCATCCCATCCCATCCCATCCCATCCCATCCCATCCCGCCCCCCCTCCCATTCGCGACATACGATGAGAGCAGGGCGGCCATTCCCTGCAGGAGGTGCCGCAGGCGCTGCGTTGGCAGCTGCGGCAGCGGCAGTGCGCCCCCCTGCTTCTGCCTGCACTCACATAGGCGTGCCGGGTGGAAGGACGGATGGGAGAGCGAGGATGGAGAGGAAGGGCAGGAAGGGGAGGAAGGGGAGGAAGGGGAAAAAGGGGAAAAAGGGGATGTGGCACACAGGCAGTGCTTGTGCTGCAGCACACAGACAGTGTGGCACACAGGCAGTGCTTGTGCTGCAGCACACAGTCAGTGTGGCACACAGGCAGTGCTTGTGCTGCAGCACACAGACAGTGTGGCACACAGGCAGTGCTTGTGCTGCAGCACACAGACAGTGTGGCACACAGGCAGTGCTTGTGCTGCAGCACACAGACAGTGTGGCACACAGGCAGTGCTTGTGCTGCAGCACACAGACAGTGTGGCACACAGGCAGTACCTCTCGTGCCTCGTGCCTCGGAGGGGCATCAGAACCTGCGGAGCGCACGAGCAGCAGGGAGTGGGGCGAGAGGTGGCAGGGGCGGGCGTAGCAGTAGCAGGCGATGGGGACCAAGGAGAGCGCGCCGCCAGGGAGGAACGAGAGGCCCGCTTGCAAGGGGCCCGCGCCCTCGCCCGCTGCTGCTGCCGCGCTCGCTATCGCCGTTGACAGGGAGAGGCTGCTAGGGGGAGAGGGGAAGGGAGGGTGAGCGGAGGGACGGGAGACAGGAGAGGAAAGGAGGGAGACAGGAGAGGAAAGGAGGGAGACAGGAGAGGAAAGGAGGGAGACAGGAGAGGAAAGTCTCGACGGAGGGAGAGTTGAGTGCGTGTGAACCGTGAAGCGAGGTCACATATCCTAGAGCGCATGAGCACGTGTAGCAAGGGCGTAAACGCGTACTGAGAAACAGAGAAAGCAAACCGTAAAGCAGGTACTGGTGCACGTGAAACGGATCACAGCTAGTAACGCGTACAGCGGGTTTGTGGAAGGCGCGCTGGCACTCGCCATGCCCGCCACTTGCGCGCACCCCGGCTCGCTCTCGTGGCGACGCCCTCGCGTCGTCGCAGCCCTCGTCACCCATCGCGCGCGTCGTGGGAGGGAGCAGACGAGGGGGAGGCGCGCAGAAAGAATCGGCGCGGAAAGAATCGGCGCGGAAAGAATCGGCGCGGACAGAATCGGCGCGGAAAGAATTGGCGCGGAAAGAATCGGCGCGGAAAGAATCGGCGCGGATAGAGTCGGCGCGGAAAGAGTCGGCGCGAAGGTACCAAGGCGCGAGCTGCGTGCTGTTGACTGTTTCCAATGCGCACTCGAGGCTTTCGTGTGGAGAACTAGCGCCGTCGAAGCAATCAACCTGTGAATGAAGGTCCCTTGGACCAAGGCCGTATCCCGTCAAGAGAGGCTAAGGGGCTGAGCCGGTAAGTGCGTCAAGTGCATTTAGGATACGGTGAAAAGCGGTGGCAACGGCACACACGACGGCGCTCCCGATCTCACTTTCCCGCATCATCTTCTTTATCATGACGGTTAATCCTCACTGCGCGGAACTCGCGACGACGACAGACAAGCCCTTCGCTGATAACGCCGCGTGAATCAAGGTGGCAGAGATTTGAGATGCGAGGAATGGATGAACGGCTCCGATTGTACCGATCGAGGTCGCAGAGGCGGATTCTCTCGCGTGTAACGCGCAGATGCTGCTCCCGCGAAGCAGCAGGCAATGGCTGGTTGTACCACCCGACCGGCCCGAACTCGCCATGGCATCGCTGCGCTCTGTGGTGCGATGGGACAGCAGCATCGACATTTCCGACGCTTCGGCTTCGGACGCGACGCGACGCAAGCCTAGCTGACCTCTGCTTTCACTCACGTTCTCGCCTTGGAATGGAAATGGGAATGGGATTTCTGCTCTAAGAGGTGCGATGCGATGGACATGAATCCCTGCGTGGATGAGGTCTGGTCTGCCTTATTTTTTTTTTTTTTTTTTGGTAGGTGAAAATGCATTATACAACGTACAACGCAAAACACCGTCGGTCGTAACCGGAGCTAGAGGGCATAGGTAGTGTATACCGTACCCTCGCAGATATCTAGGGAGGCTTATAGACCAGACGCCTAAAGATTTCAACTTGCCCGCCACAAAATCCTATGGTGCCGTTGTCACACATCAGAAACACCTCGATACATCCCTCCTCATCCTGGTTGTGTCGCCTCAGCCCTGGTGGGTTGGCTCCTCCGAACCTGCCTTGCCTGGTCTGGTGAGGTTGGGTTGCAACAGATGCAGCCCTGGTTCGATGTTGCTGCCGAGCAGGGCGAACGCGTCTCATCGAAACTGCTGTCACTCGCGCCAGCTGCTTGAAAGGTGTGACAGGAACCACCTCGACTGCCTGAGGTAAAAATGTAGCAGCAGCTGAAGCCGAAATGGCTGCCTGAGGTAAAAATATAGTAGCAGCTGAAGCCGATATGGCTGCCTGAGGTAAAAATGTAGCAACATCTGAAGCCGATATGGCTTTCTTATGAGATTTTCGACGTGGCTCATCCATGGTCGGACGAACGTAACGCCGTAGACCGGTTTCCTCCAGCAACATGGACATATCTTGAAAAAAATCTCCCGTAAAATCCACCAAGTTAGGCGTCCTATTTATAATATTGTTCTCGTCCTGCTGCCAGACGTTGTCGTCAAGAGACACATAGAAGTCGTCTTCCTTAGTTGGAGCCATCCGAACAAAAGGTAGTTCTTCTTGATCCGATGTTTGTTTCAAGCCTGATCTTGATTCAGAAATGTAGTTATTCTCTGTCACGAGTTGCCGTGGAGAGCGTGAAGCTTCTCCTACTGATCGACGTAGGATGAAGGAAAAAGCCGATAATATGAAAGTACTTCGTTGAGATATTTCCTTGTACTTAACACCCTTTCTCCCACGTTTGCGTCTTCCCGGATGCCATTGTTGATGTCCTTCAATTTGCGTCTGCTGAGGACTTGTCTTGTAAACAATCGCTGATCCAGGTTGTAACTCATTTAAGAGTGGTAGAAGGCATGTATGCAGATGACGAGGAGTTTCCTTTTTTGCCTGTTGTCGAATAATGGCCGAGAAGACCGATAGACGGAAAATATTAAGAGGTCCCGCTGCCTTGTACTCTCTCTTCACATGTTTTGTCCATTCTGTCCTGCTTTCCAGGTTCCAGCTCAGGTGACGACTCCTGCTAAGCCTGACCATTATGACTTCCTTGGAGTAACTAAATGTCTTCAGCTTTAAACCAGTTAAAAACCTGAAAAACAGATCTTCACAAGAGGCAGTTGCGACGAGCCAATGTTCGCTGTTTGAACACAATGTGGTGTCGAAACGAAGCCCTTGATGAGTAGACCCTGAATACGTAGTCAGATTTCAAAACTGATCCTGGTCTGCCTTATTGCTCACTGGTTCGTCACTTGGGCGGAGCTGAGACCAGATAGGTAAAAGCCAAGGGAGAGTTTCGAGAGAGTGCAGCGCACTTCAATGCGGTGACATGCGATTAAGTGCATTTCCGATGTACTCTTTGTTAGAAAGTTTCCTGAGAATCAGGATTGCAAGTCTGCATTATTTGAAGATTTAGGGCAGAGAACACAGAGCTTCATACGTTTGTAGAAAGGCTTATTTTTGGAACACTTGAAAAGACGCTTCTCAGATTAAATCCTATGGCCTATCCAGAATACAAGTATAGTTACACTAGATTAAATTCTAATAAAAATGGAATAATATTCAGAGGTACACTCAACCAATGTAATTCTGTCTAATCCTGTTAACCACAGGTCCACAGCTACTCCATGGCAGCATACCATTCATGCCCACCCCGGCATGGACTGGCAGTGCTCTGCACAGGCAGAGAGGAAGGCTGAGCTTTAAGCATTGCCAGGACCAAGACTTGCGGGTGCCCTACTAGGGACTGGCTCTGCTCACCCCCACCTCCACCAAATGACATCACTGCTGGCCAGGCAGCTTTGTCACTTGGTGGGGGCGGGAGGGAACAGAACCAGTCCGGTTTGGCCCGGAATCGAGTCCCCAGCCAATGCTCAAAGCTTCACCCCCTCTCGTGCACTAGCCACATGACTTGCTGCCCATGAAGACACCTGCAGGCAGAAGAAAGAAAAATATTAGTACGTGGTCCAAAAGAGAAGGCAGAAAAACAGCATGCATCAAAGCCATGTGCATGAGAAAAGGAGCTCGAAGGTAGGGGCTGAAACTTATCTGAGGTTGACGAGCGTGGAGTGTGGAGCGGTGCTTGAGCGTTGAGGCGCTTCAGCAGGCCATGCGGTGCGCAAGGTCTTGGCGGTCCATGGCGTGTTAATGGCGCTTGGAGAACCTGCCATGAGGCAATATGAAACAAGTCAGTGACTGTGAAGTTGAAGCACAACTAGACAAAAAAAGGAATCTGCGAGCGTGGAGTTATCAGAGGAATGCATTCGGGCAAGAAAGCACAGGAAAATGGCTCAAGGTTGGAACTTAGCTTGCAAAGCTTGCAGGCCATGGTGCTCCCTTGGATCCTGATTCGTGGGCTTGTTCAAATCCCTTAGTGCAGCAAACCTGCCAAGTGCAGAAGGAAATATGAGTTAGTAAACCAAGTCAATGAAGACAAACGAACGAACATGCAGCAAGTGGCTAAAACGAAGAGGGATGAAAACTTACTGCTGGTGGACAGAGAGGAGGCACCTGCCAGGTGCTGTTGGCAGGTACGTTCACCCCGCCTTGGAGCTTAGCCGTGAGGTTAAGTGGCTTGAATAGAACCTGCAAGGATATCGAAGGAACTAGGTTAGTGATGAGCAGTAAACCAAGCATGCAGAAACGGACGGTGCTGCAAAGGTGCAAGTGCCACACAGAGCCTACCTATACCAACCAAAATACCTTAGGGGGACCTTTACCAGCACCTTTACCAACCTCCACCTTAACCAAACCTGAACCTAAACCAAGGGGGGGGGCTCTGTGGCGTGAAGAATGCGTGGTTGATACGTTCAACCTTCACCAGCCGTGCAGAAGCTCCACTGTTGTCCGCCATGAAGCATGTCAGGACGCCAAAAGACGTTGTTCCTCCAAAAAACGCAGCACACCCTCGGATATAACCTGCAAGTAAAGAAATAAACGAGAATTAGTATAGGTCGGAGAGCAAAACGTGCAAAACGGAAAAAAAAAAAAAAACGAGGAAAAAACGAGCCAAATACCAACCAAAAAACCGTTAGGGGGACCTTTACCAGACCTGAACCTGTACCTAACCTCAACCAGGGGGGTGGCTCAGGAGTGTGAAGGGTGAGATTGATACTCTTAACCTTCACCTTCACCAACGGTGGAGCTTCTCCTCCGTTGTCCGCCATAGGCAAGGAATGACGCGAAAGGATGTTAATCTTCTTTAATCTTCGAAACGCCTCGCAACCTCCATTAAATCCTGCGAGTGTAGAGAAACCTTTTAGTTAGTATACGGAAGTGAAGAAGGGATGCAACGGAATTAACGACTTTGCGAAATGCAGAAACATGTGCTGACCCACCACAGAGCCAATACCAACCTGTACAAAAAAAAAAACCTTTACCACACCTGTACCGAACCTTTACCGGGGGGAGGAGGCTCTGTGGTGAGTGGTGGTGAAAGGGTGATACAATTGACCTTCACCGTCACAAATCGGGGAGATCGATGTCGCTCCAGCCACGTAGTAGTTGGCGTCGCGACGAGGTCGAGGAAGAGATGCAGATCCACGCACGATTCAATGATGTCCTGCGAATGGTGAACACCAACGTCAGAATCGGCGTGGAAACAAACTGACGGTCGAGTACATCGAAGGAATCACGACGCTGATACAAAAGCGTAATAGGAATGGTGGTTGTACCTGAGAGGCAAGCTGACTCGCTACGTTGCAGAAAGTCCCATGGTCGAAAACGGTGACAGGCAAGTTGACTCGCTACGTTGCAGATAGTCCGATGGTCGAGGTCATGAAGCTACGCCATCCGACCATACGATGCAGAAAGGCTGGACTGGCAAACGTGCCAAAAAAGCTGCATGAAACATACTGTAATTCCGAGAAAATGAGCCGGATCTGGAAGGGAGCTTGCAGAATGCGTGCAATTCCTAACTGCGGATCGTCGGGACGCGGTATTCGGTGAAAACCGTCAACGGTAAAAAAAAATTGCCTTGCTGGCTTTGATGGTGGTCCCAAGCATGCCACCCTGGACTACGGTGGATCCAAACGATTCGCTGAATACACGATCCCCAGCTTCTAATTGGACCGCCAAACGATTCCCAGCTGCGGATTGGACCGCCTAATGTGGAATCTATTATCTACAATGACAAGAATATTCCATGTCTTCAATTTGAGACACGTAGGCTGTTTCAATGGCCAGCAAAGAAACACGGTTGAAAAAAAAAGGCTCGAAAATCTAATGACGTGGCCAAAAATCTGCCGTTCAATTCACCGCCGCGGTTCGTTTCCCGAAGCGTGAAACGAAAATACGCCGCTCCAGTGCTAAGAGGTGGGAGGGTAGTTGATTTCTGTGTGGTTTG